TATATATATATATATATATATATATATATATATATATAACTACAAATAGTTTGTGTATTTATTATTTTTATTTATTAAATTTAAAATTATTATATTTTATTTATTTATTAGATAAAGTTATTGACATAATCATTAAGGTTTAGTAATTTAGGATATGGTTGGATGATTTTATCCCTAATTTTAACGAATAAATTAGACGGAATTAGTGGTACAGTCTTATTTTTCAGAGTAAAATGCATATCTGAAGGATAAAAACTCGACTTATTGAAGTTTAGGTCCCATTTTATCCCATTTCACTAAACCTCAAGAACCAAAATTACAGTTCACTCTTTATACGAATGATTATGTGAGAATGCGAGTTACTGTGAAAAGCGTAAGAAATGATCAGGACCCTTGATCAGTTTTAATCTCACCTCCACCCCATGAATTGCGCTTCTCACGGGAAAATTGATCTGGTGTTACTCATTAGTGTAAATATTTAATTAAGATTGATTTAAGCGTGAATATCATTTTTTTATCGTGCTCACTATGACTTTCATTCTCACCAAAACTCAATCATTACTATTTATTTATTTACAGAGTAAATTACGTTTCCCGTTCATCTAGTTTGTTAAAAGTTATGGTTTTAAATTTACGGTTTCCATGTCTATAGTTATACAATTTATTTTCAACCCTTTGGGTAACTTCTACCTTAGATATGAAGGACGAAAACAACAGAGAACCGTAAACCATATAAACCGAAACAAAAATATACTGTAAAATAATAATAAACTGTATATCATAAAGATAAAAATAGTAATTTTAAAAGCATATGGACCAAATAGCAATTTTCAATAAAGTACAAGAACTAGAAACCTAATTTACTTTTATTTATATCATGACAAGTTGACAATATTACATAGCGTTAAAACGGCCGGTGCGATTATAATAAATTTAGATTAAATTGAGTCAAGCATGTTAATTCATCAATATATTTCTATATCTTTTTGATTTTTAAATAACTGTACAATAAAAACAGTAACTGTTTTTAATAAACCAGAGGTTATCTGTTCGAGTTTTTCTTTTTTAGATTTACCTGTTAATTTAGTAAAAATAAAATACAACATAAAATAACTCGATATCACACATGATTTTGCCTGGAAATCAACTTCTTTTACAATTTCAAATTCTAGAAAACTCCAAAAAGATCTATACCTTACTCAAGTTTCTAGTAAAGACTTTACTTATTTTTAAAGAGAACGACAATTTTAGGGGTTAGGGTTGGAAATTAATTATTAATTTCATATAAAATATTTATATGAAAAAAAACTGTCAGTTTTTAAAGGGTTTGATTTTTGTTGATCCATATCAACAGGTTTTAAGTGGGTTAGAAGCTTGAAAATAAGCGTTTTGGTTTACCCGTTACTAATCAAATGTTGTTTCAAGATTCTGACAAGTTGATGATAGTTTTTTCTGATGTCCTAAGCAAGAAATTAAAGAAACATAAATTCAATACCTCAAACAATATGTTCGAATAAGAACATACATATCCATACGTAGGTTTTTTAAACAAGAACAATAATAAAATAAAAAGCACATAGAAACAGCTAAATCGCATATCAAAGAAAAAACACATTGAAACGGCTAAATCATGTGTGATTTTAAACCAATGATTAATACAATGGTATGTGGCGAGATGGCTCATGACCATGGTCAAGGCCAAAGTCGTATGAATCACGTGTGGTGACTGACCAGTACAGACGACTCGTGAGCAATTTTACACGTGATTTTAATGTAAAATCATATGTGATTCAAGAGGTTTCTTATTTAATTAATTGCTCTCATAATAAATGGACTTTACGAATCCATGAAATAATATCCATATCAAAAAAAGTTCGGTTATAAACGGTAATTGTGAGTTGTGAATTTGTGATATTTCCGTTAGGAGGCGGATTTAAGGGATGTTTACCAAATTTTTTAGTAAGTCATGTATGGATAAATTTGTCAGTCCGAATAAATGAGTATTGTTGTTTACTTTTTTTTATCTGAACCAACACTCTGAATAACATAAATGACAGATTTACCTTCCAATATTAATTATTTGAGCATCAAAACAGAAAATCATAAAGAGGTTGACGATAGGGTGTCTCATTTGAGAAGGAGCGATGCTTTAAATAAGGGGTAGATGTGTCATTTTTGGTGCTGAATGAGGACAACACACTAATTCTATATGTGCGATTAAATCATGTTTTGTGTGAATAAGCCATAAATAAACAACCCAAATAAGTTATATGAATAAGTCAAATAGACCAATAAACCTAATTAAACTGTAAAAAAAAAAAAACCCTTCCTTTTGGTTTACTTTGGTGTAGCAGGGGATTTGCCCCCAATATAACGCCCCCAACCATTAAACTCCAATGTCCCCAAACCAAACCCTAAAACCGACATCTCCGTTCTCACTTCTCGACAGGTAAAACATTAAACAGAGAGACGAGTGTACACTACAGTCTCGATTCCAACAGCCTTTATTCTGTTTGCTATTGCTATAATTGGTGATTAATTTCTGAATGTTGTGTGCGATAGAAAAAGAATCATTTACAAATATTATAAATGAAGATGTAATTAACCATTTTCGAAAAATGAAGTCTCATATATGCCCCCAACCACAATATATTCTGGATCAGCCACTGGTTCTCACTCGTATTTTCTTACTGATATCAAGCTCAGATCGATAAACTAAGCGTGGAGATGAAGAATAAGAAGAAGGGTCATAATATCAAAGATATCACCAGGGGAGACGCCGTGGTACAAAACCTATCACCTTCGAAAGTACTTCTATCACATTTGATTTGCGGGATTGGGTTAGCTTCGTCGTTTTGGCTAGCAATTAATATATACTCTATCAATTTGATCGATAATCCAGCTTCAACTCTCCGTTTAATATGGGTAATTACTCGTTAAACTCATCGATCCATTTTATGATCTGAAAACTGTTCTTAATAAATTATTTGTAGCATTCTTTCTCTTTTGATCAGTATGTGAAAGGCTTATTACAGTCATAAGTTCTTATATACTACTTTTGAACTAAATCTTGATGATGATGCATTGAGCCCCAATTATGACTATCAACTGTTCTTCCTTTTGCTGTTGTCAATTATATTTCAGGTTCTGATAATTTCTAGAAAATTGAGACTTGTGCTTGAATTGGGGTATGAGTGATTTACCAAAAGTATGCAATTTGTTAGTAGAATACTGGAGAGTAATGCAATGTAGGGAAAGCTGATTGCGACTCTTCGCATTTAAGCACTCATATGCTCTGCCATAATTTTGGTAAATGAACAGATTATATGTTGATTTCTGTGACGAAATGAGATTGAAGAAGCATAAGCACTTATGAAACACTTCTGGGCGAAAAATAATTCTTTATATATTCAGAAGTAGTGAGATTTCTAAGCAATTTATGTTCTATAATATCCATTGGAATTGACAAATCAGGAAGGCAATTCCAAAATTATGTGGCAATACTATATGTTCTATCCTCACTACTAAAAAGTCAATTCATACTCATCTCTCAAACACCATTGGAGTGGTGATCAAATCTCAATCTTCTGTCACTAAAGCCTGGATAACACTAATTCAGTTTCAATCTATGAGGATAACTTTTTTGGCTCCTAAACAAATTCTTTCAGAAAGAGATTACTATCTCTACTTTCATTTTTTATGCTTTTTGCTAAATACCAACCTATAGGCACCATCATGTTGAACCAATGGTGTAAGACCTTGTCAGGCTCCCTCAATAATCGTTATTTTGTTAAGACATCAATTTGTGGTAGCCTATCATGTTGAGGAGTAAGGAGGTTTTCTTCTTGCTACTAAGCGGTGTTCATTTTTTTTGAAACGGTAGAAGATTTTATTAAACTGAAAGGCAACCAACAATAACCTGATAAACCACATCAAACCAAACCAAAAGTACCCAATATATTTCATTCGAAAGAAAGAGTTGTAGGATGTATGCAGGCTTTTCCATTAGAGGCAGTCAGGCTGCCTCTGTGAAGACCCCCAACATGCGGAAAAGTTTGGTAGAGACAAGTTTTGTCAGAAAAGTTTTTTATTTTATTTTGGAAGTTGTGAGGAATTTGAGAAGACACTGGAGAGCACAAGGCATAGGAGAAAAGTTCTAGAAAAAATGTGTGCAAGCAAGCACCAAAGACATCAGACAATAAATAATAAGACCACATTCGAGAAAAAGAACGCCAAATTTCACAAAACGAGGTACTAGAACAGGATCCACTTATTCCAACCATGCTAGGACCTTGCTATCCTTTTGGTCGGTTGTCTATCTATCCACACATCTATAGCAGCTACTAAACCATACAAAACCAAACGAACACAATATATCCCACTCAGAAGTAGGGTTTTTTTTTTTTTTTGGGGGGGGGGGGGGTGACGGGATGTACGCAGACTTGTTCTCTACCCTAGAGGGTAGAGTGGTTGTTTTCGTGAAAACTCCCGATTTGCTCCTCTATAGTGGCTACTTGTCCCTATAAAAAATATGCTACCCTAGTTCTACCCCTCCAAGGACTCTATCAAAGGTCATGTCTACTTCCAATGCGATGCACTCCTTGAATACCTTTGTTGCCGCTCCCTTCAGGTTCTTGAATAGGATCCTTGGTCTAGCCTCTATCGCTTCCTCTGTTGATCGTCTTGTCATTGATACGTCCATGGCTAACAATCTGTGTTGTGATGCACATGCCTCCCAGGGAACGCCTTACAGTCTCTGCAAGCTCTGCGTTCCCGGTTAAGCATTAGGATGTAGTCAATTTGGGTGCTTTGCCCCCCACTCTGAAAGGTAATCAACTGTTCCTCTTGCTTTTCAAAACAGTAGTTTGATACCACCAATTCATGCGCTATTGCAAAATCCAGGAGTGTACGGCCTCTTTCGTTCCTTGTACCAATACCAAAACCCTCATGGGTCCCTTGGTATCCATGTGCCCCTCCACTAACGTGCCCATTGAAGTCGTCCCTTATAAAAATGTGTTGGTCGCTCATACTGCATACCAAGTCATCCAGGCATTTCCAAAATGTATCTCAAGTCATTGTAAATTCTTGCTTGCTTTAAAATGAGTTTGTTGCAGAGGACTGTTTGGAGGTGCACTGCAAAAAGATGGGCTGGGTGGGTTACTGAATTATATTTGCAGCTTCCTAGGAACGTTGTCTCATCCATTTACAAACATGCATAAAAGACTCAGAATTGCCAACCTGAACCTGCATGCCAACCACAGCATATAAAAAAAGAAATTCAAACTCGTTGGTCAAATTTAAATGTATAATTCAGCTTGGCTGCAACACATGTACTTGCTTTTTTTAAATGTGGTTGGTGTACACTTTCTAGGTTTCATTTAGGTTTTTGTTAAAGACTAGGGTCTGCAACAGCTTGCTAACACTTTCCATCCTGCACTATGACCTTTCCTTATTGCCGTTGAACATATCAGAAAGTCTTTGAGGTCAGATAAAGGCATGGCATGCGGTTAGTTGAATTTTGTTCAAGTGTTGATTTCTTCTCTGTTGTGATGCGCGTATAGGATGTAAAACAGGATCTGCCATCCTTCTCACTTATAAAGGACAGGCTGCTGCTATTTTTTCAAACTACAAAAATCTGACCAAAAAAGTTAATCTTCCAATATCATGAGTAAACTTTATATTAAAATGCTTTGGTGCATTGTCAGGGTCAAGAAAGTTTGTTACAAAAAGGCTGTTGTTTACCCATTGGGGCCACTAATGTCTATAAAATGCACAAAATTGAGGGCCCTTGGCAAGAAACTGACATGGAGAATATCTGTCTTTAACAAATTGCATCCATTTACGGTTTACCAGCACCCTGTGTCATTAGCATTATCCATGTAGACACTGTTGAATGGTATCTCTTGATTACTAAAGATTGTAAAGTTCTTTGGTTGGCAAGAAAATGCCAACCAGACGGAACTACAGATTACATCCTTACCCGCCATATAATAAAGCACATTCTTTAACAACTGAATTTGAATGTGTTCTTACAGCTATTGAGGTCCCAGTTGTCATTCTGCTATACTTGCCAACCAGACGGAACTACAGATTACATCCTTACCCGCCATTTAGTAAAGCACATTCTTTAACAACTGAATTTGAATTTGTTCTTACAGCTGATTGAGGTCCCAGTTGTGGTTCTGCTATACAGTTTATTTCGGAAAGATATGAATCAGAGTTCCGTAAGTTATCACTTCTGTTATTTTCAGTTGATTGGATTATCATTTGTAAAATTGATTGTATACAATTAACAAGGTTTTTTTTTTCTTTTCTAAATGTTACACTGCAGTACTTGAAGGCTGTAGCTAGAGGTTTACTGGGCCTTCCAGTTGGTTAGTTTTTACTTTGTCTTTTGCTGCTGTTGACAGTTGCACGCAGAAAGAAAAATGAAATTGTATTTTCTATACAATTTGAGAAACTCTGGCAGATATGGATAATAGGATAGAGAAATGGGCATTTCTGGCAAGGTGTCATCATTCACTGATGTGATGATGTAAAGTTCTCGACATTGACCATGGATAGAAAATCAATTCATATATGTCTGAACTTTATATAATTTTTTTTCCTTTTACAGCAATATTATGATATGTTCTTAATATCCACAGGCACTTAGCAAATTTGACCTTGCAGGGGCTGTCGTCCATGCGCTTGGAGCTATTGTTTTAGGGGCACCTGTTGGCACTCAGTATGTGATTTTTTTAATAGAAGTTATCTTTTGTATGTTGTAATTTGGACATTTAAACATAAAGTTCATTGGTATGGTATATTGGTTATAGTTTTCTATGTTCCGCAAAAGGAATTTCTCACCTACCACTTGGTACTGAAAACTCTCTTCTTTTAGAGTCTAAAGTCCTTTTATGTGAATCGCATTCTGTTTTCAATCTTTCAAAATACAAATGCTTTTTTTCCTTCAGGTATACATCTGCAGCAACTATGGTATTGTCTAGCCCAGTTCGCCTAGTTTTGGTGTTTAAAGCTTGATCAGCATTACCCAAAGGTCCTAAGTTCAAATCCCACACGGTGTATTCTCTGTGAATTATTAAGTGTGCATCATTGGGCATGCAACAAAAGTTTTATCTTCTGTTGTTTTTTCCCGGATCTTCTAAGAAAAACCATCACGTTGTCTAATAGATTATTTGAAGAGAGTGACCTCCCATGCACCCATTTCTTCTTCTTTTTTCACAAATTTAGTGGCGAAACACATAGGCCATGATTAGAAGCAAAAATATTAAATAATTTTGAGAAGTCCTTCCAGCAAGCCTAAATTCTTAACGAGAATTAGGTATATGATCTCTATAGCATACTCATTATAATCCAAGTATTTCATAGGACAGGCTCAGAAGCACGTCATCTGACACAAGATGTTAAGACGAATCTTTCAGCTGTTTGCCTTGTCTAAGCTTATGCACATGCGATTATAGTTGCTATCTTTCTTTCCAAATGCAGGTACTTTCTAAGAACCCTCAATTGGTCTCTTCTGATGTCTACATTTACTGTGAGTATAAAGCTAATATAATTTACTCTCTTATTTGGAAACATAATGATATGGTTTAATCTTGGTCACTTGGGATTATATTTGACTTGCTGATTACGGTAACCTATGTTCCTTTTACTGATTTAAGGCATCAGAGTGTTATAGTTTGTATTCCTCTTGTTGATCATCTATCTGTTGCATATTTTGATCACAGTTTGTCCCTGCAGCTTCCGTCTATGGTTCATCTTGGGTTGATTGGCATCGCATATTTGCGCAAACAAAGTAAGTTCTTGATGATATAAGGTGTTCACATGACTTCAGTCTGACAGTTAAACAGTAACAATAATGCCCATCCATCAGAATGGAAAAAGGAAAAAGAAAGTTGGTACGAATTGAAGTACAGTACTTAATCGAGTACAATCACACAATGTACTTTCTGCCAACCAAAATAAGAATATCTTGGTTCAACATCCATTTTATGCGGTATTGTTACATGTGCATCTTTTCACTTGCAGGCCAATTGGATCTATTGATTATATGATCTGTCTACCTGCACATGGTGCAGTAATTGGAGGTTGGTTTGGGGCCTGGCCCATGCCACTTGACTGGGAAAGAACATGGCAGGTACGGCTCTTTAACGATATATTTGAGTTATGATCCCTTAGGACAGATTAAATAGAATCACACACTCATATATATAGTACATAAAATTCTATACCGTATACCAACCAACTGTACCTGGTACCAACTTTTTAGGTTGGTACATGTTGGTACTGGTTTTGTACCAACTTTAAGTCACATATATGAAAACTTGTCATTTTGTTCAAATTTTGAGTGACATTTTTGAGTTTGCAAGTAATACATATCATGTTTATGGTTTTTTAATTGCATGAAATTGAACTTCCAAAATCAAATACCTAAACAAGAAAGTCATAACACAAAACTTAAAAATCAATAAATATATTTATAATTAAATAATTTAATTTAAAAATAATTATAAAGTCAGTACCAATGTACGTGACTTTCAATATTGTGTACCAACCAAGTTTGCGTACAACGTACTTGGTACATTACTACCAACCGTTGGTACCAACAAAATTGATACGGTTGGTTTGGTTTGGTTTGGCACAAAATTGCCATCCGTATTATAACGTCGTATTGGAGTTTTACTTTAGAAAAAGAACAATTGTACTTGTAAATATCAATGCAAAATATTCTAATTTTCAAGCTAGGGTTTTTTTTGGGATTTTTATGAGTAGGTGTACTTCTCTCGGTTGTTTTTGTTCTTGTTAATTAAGAAACTTTTCGGTTGTTTTACAGGAATGGCCAATTTGTGTAACTTATGGAGCTATCATCGGGTATTTGGTCGGAATGTTGGCTTCTTTCTGTTCTGCAGTCTTTCGTGTATCAAGTCAACACGTCAAGGGAGATTAACGGGGGGTCGCTAGATTTCAGAAAATCACTATATCTGCAGTTTTCTTTTTAGAAGTAGCGTTTCCATCAGCTTTTGCACCAAGAAAATGGTGGTTGTGTTCTTGGCTGAATTGGGAAGTTTTAGAAAATAGAAATGCTACTTAGCAGAAGAGATGCTTTTTCTATTTCTAAGGGAAAGGATGCAAGTTGAATTTATTATGTGGTATTGTGTTGTTCAGATGAATTTTTGGCCTACTAATCAAACCTTTGTTAGGATCAGCCTTTCTTTGCAATCATAAGTATTATATTTATTATTATGGTACTGTATATAATGCATAAATACATGCATAACAACCGTTAATCGGCATCATTGCGGATCCGGAGACGGGCAAAAAGACCAGCCTTTTCGGTCTGGATAGGACCATTACTTCATCAGGCTGGACCGTTGGTTCTTAATAGATTTAGGGGTAACCAAATGCTTATCTGGGTAAGCGTTTTCTGGTAACAAAAAAATGACGGTTTCAAATCAAGATTTCTCTGGTATCCCATATCGAATCATAAAAATAAAATAGATTCGAAAGGCACACTGGAAATACTATGAGGTTTGGAAATGATCGAAGTAGTTGAATAGTAGGATTACAATGACTATAATTTAACACTATCACTTACTTAGCGGGTAAGATTTTAGTTCATCAAAACGGTATTGTAAGCAACAATTTACCCGCTAACCGTGGTAAGTATCATCGCCTTCACTTACTAGGTAAGATTTTCGTTCTTGCCTTCGCCCAGGTAAGATTATTGGTTCTCGTCATATACATCCGATAAAATAATATGACTTGGTGAACGTTTATCTTGGCAAACAACCCCTTAGTTATTTTTTGAGTCCTTGAAAGATACAATAGATAAATGCATCTCTTAATGCTGATGTAGCGAGTGATATCGGCATATATATCTTAATACTGAGTTGGATACTACATCAACATGGTAACCGGTTAATATTTCAACCAGTTACCCGAGTAATTAAATGTTTAAAATTTTACCTCTTAGATACCAAAATGAAAGTTTTAAAAGTATATTACCCAAAATAAGAATCAAATTAAAATACATTACTTTTTCATACAATTTATTTTTTTAGTTTTTTATAGCTAGTGGAGTTGTTTTAAAACATACGTATTCATATATATTTTTCTTAGATGCCGGATCATACTCAAATCCACTTCCCTTTAGTTATTTATCGTAGAAGGAATAGTTGACATTCATTGATCGTAAAGCTTTCATGCCCATTGGGTATTAAATTCCACATAAAAGAAGACTTAAACGACATTGAAAACATTAGCATTTATGGAAGAAAAAAAAAAAATATATATATATATATATATATATTAAAGTATATAATATTTATATATAATAAATACAATAAATAAACTTACACATAATCTTTATATTTGTTGAAGTTTGAACCTTTAACCTTTTAAAAAACCAAAGACTATATATATGCCAAATAAACCACGTCATTTTAATAAAAGGTAAGAAAAATAAATTTGTGTAAAAAAATAAAAAGTAAATATTATTAAAAAAGATGTTTATAAAAATGTATTTATTAGAGCACCCACATAGGGCTTTCATATGGATTGCAATTTGAATTGCAAATACAATTTTGAATGTGATTGCTGCCATGTAGGATTTGGAATTGCAAAATTTGCAATTCCATTTGAAAGCCACGTGGGCACACTTCCTCTCCAATTTCTTTTTGTTTTTTCTAATTATTTAAATAAATTAATTTTTATAATATTAATATATTTACTAATTAAATTAATTATTCTTATATGAAAATATTCTATGCATGTATATATGTTATTTAAAAAAATATAAATATAATATAACTAAATTAATTTAAACATTAAATTTTATAATTACATAAAATTATAATCTAATATATAAAATTACCGATAACTAACATAAATCACGCACGACTAACAAAACAACACAAATAAAATTACATGTTTATTAATTAAAATTATAATTTAATAAATTAATGTTTCAAATTTAAAACAATAAATTATATAATTATTATATTATATTATATCATATTATATCATATATTAATCGTTTTAAATTGAATTAAAATAAAACATGTTATTAATTAAAAAATAATTAGAATGTATATATAAATAATTTATAAAAAAGTTAATAAATGTTGTAGTGGGGACCACTTTTGAAAGTGTAGGTGAATTGCAGGTGTGTAGGTGGTAATTGCAAAAGCTGACGTGGCACAGTTGAAAGTGTTGTAGGTGAATTGCAGGTGTGTAGGTGGTAATTGCAAAAGCTGACGTGGCACAGTTGAAAGTGTTGTAGGTGAATTGCAGGTGTATGGAAGATAATTGCAAAAGCTGATGTGACACAATTAAAATGTAAATGGATTGCAGGGACGTGGATGGTCTTAAAGTACGTGTCAAATAAATAATTATATTTATCTTATTGTGAGTATTACTTTGTTGACCATCCTCCATGGCAATACTAACTCTAGAATTTGGTAATATTGGACCAAAATCAAGGACGATTTGGTAATTTCATATTTGTTGCAGGAGAAAAGGGGTCTCACATGGATAGACTAGTATAAAAGAAAGCAGACGAAAAGAGACAACAAACCAAACCATCCACCGTGGAGACTCAATCGACCCCACATTCATCAAATCCTGGCCGTCCAAGTTCCACACACTGATCCTATCGGCGCCATTAAGCGACAACTACACGTTTTACAAGAACAACAACAAACAATACCAGAAGAATCTCTCTTTCTCTCATCCTTCTTATTTATCTCTGTTTTTGTGTTCTGTGATTTCAATCTCTGACGTAGTGTTCTTCTAGGTTTAAACAAGACGAAGATTGGTGAAATTGACGGAACTTGTTGATTGAATTGCTGAATTTGTAACTATCAACTTCAGTGGAGAAATGGAAGACGGTAAGAAGGAGGTGCAGATAAGCCTTGTTAATGGCTTCTCTCCGGTGTCTTCTACTCCTGTTTTCTGGAAATCTCGCAAGAGATCTGGTGATTAACCTTTCTTCAAAACTAGTCTTTTGTTGAATTGATTTTTCAGCGTAATTAAGAAGCTCTGTGTGCAATTGGATTAAATTGTTATTGATTTAACTGTTTAAGAGTATCAGATCTGTGTACCTACATGTTTGGAAGCAGTTCGACGATCATGATTTTTGAAGGAAATTTTGGTATGGATTTAGAGTTTGCTTAGAACACAAAGTTAACCGGAGATATCCGTCGTTAAGGTCAAATCTTCGACTACGATATTCGTACTTGCTAAAATCCATATTTTCGTGTACCTAGTATTCATTGCATAATTGATACTATTTAGAAAAATTTATTGTGATTTACAATGTGTTTTTACATTTTAGTTCTAAAAACATTTGATGAATTTGCAAATATTTTTATGAAATTATTTACGTGTTGACCTTCAGCAGCTATATTTTAGGATGAAGGTGGTAGGCTAGGAGCAGTCTTCTTGCTTTGGTAGAAAGCAAACGTGTTATTGTAATCAAATAATTAATTTATACCTTTTTGATGACGAACGCTCAACGCATGTTGACTTTGGGTTGCTGATTTCACAATACTATCGATTTGAAAAAGGGTAATACTGTTTTAAAGTGTGACATGTTGCTTCTTTTCAATTTAATGAACTAATAGGTATTGACTAAAGAAACTAATGGTAGCGTTTCTCGTGGCGACTGTTTAAATTGAACACATGCAGGGGCAGACCTAGACTATTTGCAAAGCAAGTGCACCCTTTAAGAGTATAAGGTATATTATAGGTCTGTAAAGTTGTCCGATGTGTTTTTAACCGAATTCTGCTATATTGAGGGATTTTAAAAGTTTTTTGGTAGATTTCAAGTGACTTTTTACGGAGGGTTTTTTTTATTTATTACGAGAGACTTTTTTGTTTTTTGGTTGATTTCAATTTTTTCGGTTTTTGGGTTGATGTTTCTTATATTATCTGATATACCAGAACACCTCTCAAAGTTTAGTCGCTTGCTCGTACATACATAGGTCCATCTCTGAACACATGCATAATGACTATGTACTATGCTACCATGGGTTGACTTAGTCAAGAGCATACAGTGTGCCACAAATGGTTCCATCGGAAAAGAATTACAATTCTAGAGGATGTCATCATATTGTTTTGGTTGAGAGTTCATATTTTTTTTCCTAAAGATAGTAATCGTTGCTGCCCTTTGTGCAAAGGTGTAACTTCAGGTTTTCTGTTTGTCAAATTTCCTATTTTTCAGGTGAAATTTAATGTTTTAAATTTTTTCTGAAGACAAGGCCATGAAAAGGTTTGAACCCAGGTTGTATTTGTGCAGGGGTAAGAAACCAACAAATAGATCTATTTATAGATTTCTTACTTATATTGAAAACGTATATAGGTTTACCTCTGTATGCTTCACGTACGAGAATTGGTCTCTAATAAGCAAAGTTGGAGAGCAAAATAGTTGTGTATGTATGTAGATCTTAGGTTGTGAGAAATTGGATCCGTCCTATATCAATTGTTATTATGTGGTTTTATTATATACATGCCCAAAAGTTGGAGATAATGGCATTGCCAAAAACTATAAGGGTTGAAATTACCAAACTGATTGTAACTTCCAAAATTCAGTAGTTTATTAGTTTATACTAAAAAGTTAACCATAAAATGAATGACCTTCATTCATGACTTCCCGAATGTGGATGTGACTTTTTAGGTGGACACCATGATTTATCTTGCCTTACGCAGTAAGTTTGGTTAGGTTAGAAGAAGCATGGGTGCTCTTTGATTTGTTGTCTAGACAAGATAAGCCTTGATGTTTTCTTTTTTAAATTTCTAAGCTTGATAAGGTGTGATCTTCAAGAGATGTCTTACAGATCCCACCTCTATTTGGAATACCGTGCTTTGGTCTATTAAGGGGTCTAAATAGGATCCTAGGCTTTAGCCCTTGGGATTTTCATGCGTTAATAAACTCGCACATTTTCAAATCAAAGGAACTTTACAAACGAGTATTCAGTATTGATGACAGCTATACTATTTGGATTTTAGTTGATTATTTGGACTTCGCTTTTTTGTGCTTAGACATCAAACCAACTTTGTCTTGGAGGTGAAAAGGTTACAAAATCTATAATAACCCAAAAGTTGACGAATGCAGTTAATTTCATCGATCAATAGTAGATATTTATTTAGCAGCTTTATGGTTGCAGCTAGTATGAAGAACTTGTATAAGAACGTTACAGATGAAGCTGATAAAACAAGTGAGAAGAAGGAGGAGAACTCCAGTGATGAGAAAATGGAAGAAACAACTCCGCCGACAGTTCTTTCGGAGAAACGTAAGGCTCTCTTTGAACCTCTTGAACCAATAATGGATTTGAATGGTAGAAGACCTTCAGCTGAATCTTTACTTCCCCCACCGGACTTTGACTCTGCCAGTTACCCTCGTGGATGGCTCATTGGAAAGAAGCGGAAACTTGTAAACGTGGATGTTGTCGAAAGCATGCGCAGGATTGCTGTACAAGAAATGAACAGAAAGGTACACCTTCTTTACAGTTTTCCTTGGCAGGAAATCAAGAGGGGCTGTTAACTGTTTGGTTGATTTTTGATCAAGTCTTGTATGGATAAAGCCGTTTGTGTGGATTAATATTTCTGGATAAATTAGGCAAGTTCTTGTTTGGGAATAGATGGAAGGAGTGTGTTTGCATAAAGTTTCCCCTTAAAAGCTTTCTCAACTTATCCAGACATTAATCCACACAAACAGCTTTATACAAAGGTCATTAGCCTAGTGGAACCCGGGTTAACTAAAGGGTCATTAGCCTAGTAGAACATGTGATAAGTGCGTATTTGTCATATATAAATATCATATACTTAAAAAACATGAATTGATTACAGGACAGAGAGATCGATGGCCTAAACGAGCAGTTGGACGAGGACTCACGTGTCCTAGAACATCTCCAACTGCAGCTACTGAATGAACGAAGCAAGCGTGCAGATGTTGAGCGACAGAATGCAATGCTGCAGGGCCAGGTTGATATGCTCATGAATATGCTTCACGAACCCGAGAACATGGACGACCAGGAAGGACCACAAGATCCTTAAAGTTTATTTATTTGATTGTCATGTTTTGCAAGTAGAAAGCTAGAAAAATATATCTGTTCTGCTGTTGAGGCCAGATACTGTGCATATTACGGCATTTGGTCTTTGTTTGAAATATAAAATAGACATAAACATACCACCACAAAATGTACCAAATTACATGTTTTTTGCAACATCCTTTTTTATGCAGTATGATATATATCAAAAAGGCCCCAGGAAGCTAAGCCTTCATATAGATGCAAAACGTTGCAGCCTCTAAATCCTGGAAAATGCAACATATATACATGGTTATAAGATTACATCTGCAAATCCCAATACTTTACAAAAGCCATGGAAGGATCTCCCACAAGTTGCTATGCACTAAGAGAATTATCTAGTAGTTTGATTGCCAGAATCATCCAGAGAGGTTGAAAAAGAACTGGGGTAACGATGCTATCCGAGGAAGATTCAGCAGCAACTCTCCTACAGAGTCGTTCCTAGGCATGCCCTTCTTACTGTCATCAGCTTCACCCTCCGCTTCGAGTATGGAAGAAGAATCTTCTGCAACCTTGCTTCCACTGACTGATTCAGTTTCTGTCGTCAGTTTTCCATTGCTACCGTCGGTTTTTAAATCCTGAATTGTTGTGGGATCCTTCTGCAAAAGACAGCAAAGAGAGTCGACTCTCGACATTATGGATTTCTCATCGGAAGTAGATGTTCCATATTGAGCATCATTGAATAAGCAACGACTAATGTCTTCAAGAATCTGTAAGCTTTCTTGTTCTTCATGGGAAAGAGGTTGGTCACCAGATGTCCTGTGTTTCGTGATTCTGTTTTCAATGTGATTTACCAAATCACTCATTGACATAGATGAGTGTAGCCCTGGCACTTGCATCTGATCCCAACGGTTCAATCCCTTCAACCCAGCTCTTCTCATTTCTTCACTTGCCGACGTCTCCATCACTGAATATATAGCGCGAAAAGAAAATACGTAAATAATTTGCAGAAAATCTTAAGCAGCAAATGTCCTTGGAACCATGTTTACCTGAGCTGGGTGAAGGTGTTTCCCGAAGCAATTCTGTATGTCTACTACCAGCAGGTTCATGCAACTCACTTCTAGAAGAAGACGACTGACCTCCTGACGGGGATGTTGTTCCACGTAACTCGAGCGTGGTGGGTCCATCACTACTCAAATTATATTCAATTGATTCACTTGGCTCTTCAAACACAGATCTTCTGGATTCGAAGTATGGGGATTCCAGTGTTACCTCTGCTTGCTGACTTAGAAAATTAAGACGAGGGTCACACTGAATGAGCTTTTCATAGTGCTTGCCTAATGACCCTTGTGGACACTGCAGACAGTGCCGCCTATAGAAAAAAGAATAATACAGCAGGTTTAGATGAATATTATATAAGTAGTTAAAACTTATGCCTGCTATACAGCAGGAACTAATCGTTAATATCAAGGCAAGGAAAAATATATATATTTCGAGGATGTACTAGAGAACGGAACCCAGGATTGCTGAAATACGACCATCCTTTACTAAATTTTCACTTACTATAGAACCTTATACCGGAACTCCAATCACATCAATACTGAGATAATAAAAACTGAAATCTTGATGGAGAACACGATCTAAAGTTTACCAAACGGAACCACTCATCTGCAATCCAGACCCTACTTCACCAGTACATTAGTGAAAGGACACTACTTACCATCCATTGCTTCTTATTCGTTAAGCTGGAATAAGAGTTAAGACCAAGTCTTAAAAAATTATCACATCTGATGCAAGCTATATCATCAAGTGATTTCCTACTATACAACACCAAGACTGTGAAGTCTAAAGATACCTTAAGGACTCTCCTCATATGCAATGGGACCAATGTTCAATAAGCAAAGAAGACTCGTATAGCAGAAAGCACATACAAACCTAGGGGATCAAATCAACTTATTTGTTAATGGGATGCGTAGCACCTTTCATAAGCTTAAAAAGCATCTGCTACTAAAACAAATATCTAGACACATCATTACTCCCCTTCTGTCAACTATTTTGGCTGTTATAAACTAAAAATGAGCCTTCTTTTTGGGTGAGATAAAAATAGAAGACGTGGAACACGAAAGCAAACATAAGGCGGTAAACCTCAAGCCAGGCAAGCAGTAAGCCTTCCAGCCTGTGCACAGTATATACCTGGTCTCGTGAGTAAGAAGCCAATGCTAATCAAGTTGTAAGAGTATCTCCGACAGATTTGCTATAATGGAGGAAATAGAGATTGTTAGGTGAAATACTGAAATTGGGCTCCAATCAGATTCTCCAAACCTATCTCCAAAATGGAGAAAGAAGGTAGCATTCTATATATTTGGAGGATAAGCAAAATTTATGGTAATAGTTTTTTGTACCTTCCTAGATACCCATGAATTTTCCTATTTTCTTTGTAAGCTTCCCAACGAAAAAACCCAATGAATGTTTAAATTTTATTGTGGTATTAAATGCATTGAGATTTTTAATACTAGAATCTCCAAAATACAGAAACTGTTGGAATTTTTTTGGAGATTTCTGACTCTTGCTTCTCTTTTGTGGTTAAATTATAGCAAATTTGTTGGAGATGCTCCAACTCAAAAACTGAGAATCAGGGAATGATATGAACTATAATTTGGTTACTGTTTGCACCATTCACTTGTAGACATAAAGCATAAAATGTACATGCTCAGCATACCTTCCTCACAACTGAAAATAATATCTATTATCTTCTCCACTGTTTGGATAGACCTTAATAATCTGGCACTTCTAATTTTTTAATGAGCTTATATAATTTGACTTTAGTTTACAGTAAAGTGACCCCATGTTACCTGACCAAACCAAACAAGACCAATATATCCCACTTGGAAGTAGGGTCTGGGCGCCCAATGTGTGCAGACATTTTCGTGTACCCCAAGGAGTAGAGGGACCGTTTCCATAACGACTTCCGGTTTGCGAAAATTTTGGGAAGTCTTGAGAGAAACTGTAATTTTTTATTTGAAAGTTATGAGAAATTATAGAAGTGCTGCTCAATTAAGAAGGTAAGTTCAGTCCAAGAGGCTACATTGAAATGATGCCCGGACTCGCTGCAAGGCAACATCAAATACACCGGCAATTCCCATCATATGAAATGAGTTCAATGTCCAGTTATGAAACCCTTGAAAAAAGAGACATTGGAAACTATTTGTAAAATTAGTGTGATTAAAAAGGCATCAAGAGTTTTATCGCACCCCATCCCCCTATCTGCAAAAGCTACTATTCCCTACAAATATTCTGCTTTCCTAGTCTAGCTTCTCCAAGAGCTCCTATCAAAAGGTCATCCTTGGACAAATCTAAGCCCTAAGGCCGTTATGTCCAGCCTCAGCTGCTCATCCCACATCCTCCTCCTCCTCCTATTCAAGTAACCCCATGTTAGACTCGTGATATTTAAGGTTAATTAGTTAACATAGTAACTTTCGTATTACCATAATTAATTAGCTCTATAAATAGGAGATCAGTAGAGAACATGCTTTTTGATACAGATTCTAGGGACAAATGGCAGCAAAGAAGATGAAGATCAGAGCGGTTTGATCTACGATGGTGGAAGAAATTTTTGAGATGAATGAAAGTTTGAGTCACAGTTTCCTCCATGGAGGAACTATTGTGTGGTTTCTTGGAGTCGAACAACCAAGTAAAAGGAGTGGCACCAACCATGGTTGCCAGAGGGGCAGCGATGAAGGAGAGGGAAAGATAGAGAGATGAGAACAGTGGTGGCAAAGGGAATGGGTCATAATAGATGATAAAGAAATTTAAACGAGGCCATCAGTGGCAAAGAGGGGGATGGTGGTCGGTGGAGGACACCATGAACAAACAAGGCGCCAAGGGACGGAAGGGTAGAGAGCGAGAGTTACAAGACATGGCCGAAAGGGAACACAGCAGGTAGGACAAAAGGCAGCAACAAGTGTTGGAGCACTAATGATGGTTGAAAGATGTCACAGGGAAGTAGCAATGGTGGGGTATATTTTGGCAGGGTGACAGAGTCACGGGTGTGGAAGTATAAGGGAAAAGAAAAGGGATCTATCGAGGGAGGAACCTGGTAGATTTCACCCGCAGTCCAACGGTAGAGTTCAATTTCACTTTGGGCCTAAAGAAGCGGATAGATATACTACTACACTAGATAGCAAGCAACATTATGGGACCAATGAAGTTAGTAGCTTTCCAAAGGGACTAATGAATTTGATTTTGGACCAATGAGGCCAGTGGGTTTAACAATGGATGAAAGCTGAGACAAACCCTATCTCTAATCTGGAAATAGGTTTGTTTTGTGCCACCACTAATATTTTGACATTTTCTTGAAAAAATTTAAAGGTTAAATCCTGGGCACAATGAGAGATTTAATGTTGGGCAACCATGAAGAGGTCCCAGAGGCACGTATGTTGATGACTATGATAGACACAATATCTGATCTTCCATAGTTCCATGAAACCATGATAATATGACAATAAAATATGTAAATGCACCATAGCCATCAACTCCTAGAGGACCCTGTACCTGTGTAGGCTAGCCTGTCCACCTGTAAAGTCTGATGTTGCCTGCCATAATGTGTGCTTTCTAGGCTGTGGATTTGTCTCTCTAAAGAAGAGAGGCTGCCTAGTTAACTGCAGAAGGAAAGGCAAACCATCAACATCATTAATATCATTGGAAGTAATATAATTACACCAAAACAACAGAGATTACCACTATATCTAGAGTTCCAGGGCCATCATCTGGGCAAGTTGCCTTCAGAGCCATAATGTCAGACCACTGAATTTCGATCTTATTCTTGAGGCCTCCATCAAGAACTTCCCATACAAGCTTGTGCTTAGCAAAGTAACACTTCGCCACCAAGTCCCCTTCATATCTAGATATATACTACAAACAAAGCCATCTTATGTTAGTCGACCTCAAGCTGTGGAAGTGGACATCACCATAAGAAGATACATCCAAACAGTTCATAACGAACTTGTCAAAGGAAAGATGTATTTAAATAGGGAAGGAAAAAGTTGGGAGAATTATCAAACAAATTAAATACAACAAAAAAAGAAAGAAAGAAGGAACACACGGATAAGAAGATCTTACCTCCCAGGTACCTATCCTAAGGAGTGATGCGGGAAAGTTTGAAGCCTTTAGCTTGTCAGTAGCAGCAGAAGCAGCAGAAGCAGCAGTGATTTTGTGTTCTTTCACAGTATGCACTCCAGCCTTGGATGAAGCATTTCCTTGAGAAAGCCTCATTTGAATCAAATCCAAGAGAGACGGGCTCTTTCTCAGCCGCAACCCCAATGGACTTGGCTCGTCTAATGGATTGACTTGAGCTTGTGATACAGGAAAACCACCCACTCCAAAATCCTGCTGCTGCCAAAACAAAAGGGACAATTAAAAGGCAACAACGTTTACTAGCCTGAACAAAACCACAATATGGAGAAGCTAGGGCACAAAGTTGGTTTCTGAATGTAACAATGAAGAGTTGCAAATTCCCAAAATTCACAAGTTCTTTTCCACCAATAGAACTCAGAGCTGTGCCCTAAATTTCCTCAATATTAAGTTTAAGCCTCTAACAACTAATTATCACTGGAGATGGAACCCTAAAATAACACTGATTGTCATACAGATTACAGATGCATAATTACAAGTTACAATGATTCATTTCACAACAAAAACATCCTTGATTTTATCTGTTCCTATCACTCGCTCAGCTACGTAAGTAGAACAATAGAAATTGATATCTACTAAATTTATTCTGGATCTTTCACTTCAACCGTGATGTTAATAAATCCGTGTATATGAAGAAAATATAACCACCAGTGGATAGAACCGCCACAAACCTCTCAAGTTCCACATCAAACTGTATGGCTTGATCAGGGAGATCCAGGATGTTGTATACTAACAATTAACTCCATAGATTTTAAGGTTCGTTGTACAATATTAAATTTAGAAATAAATACACATAAAAAAAACCTTAGATCTCTTGTTGGGAGGATGGTGTTCGTTGTCATGCTGAGAAGATTGGTCTGTAATCTCTCTCTTTACCGGCGCCATTTGTCCACACGGCTCCGACTGAGACTCCGAGGAGACGGTCAACTGAAAACCCTTAAGGTTTTCCAATCGATTGCAATTTGTTTTTTTATCTCGTTCCTGAAACCTGTGTTTCCTAGGATGATGATGATGGGCTGAAACTGAGTCGAGTTGACCCGGTGAAAAGGGCTTAGTCCTTCGAACGATAACGCATCTGGTGAAGTGGTGGCGTGTTAGGTAGCCATCGGTAAAAGGAGCAATTCCTTCAAACCCGCCCCTTTCTAAACTTTCTTATTTTGGAAAATCTATATATAAATATTAAAAGGATGCTCGTGCAATACAATATAACGAGATAAATTTATATTTTAATGTTTAATTTTTATTTTATTTATATTAATAAAATATAATTTTATATAGTTTTGAGAAAGCGACAATATTTTTATTTATAAATAAAATATAAATTTTAAGATAGTATAAACATCTGAAAATAATAAATCGATATTAGTATATAATTAACTATTTAATAGTTTTCGTTTTTTTGGTATAATTTTTTTAATTCTATTTTTTTATTATAACTTATTTTAGATTCAATAACAAAGTAATTTATTTTTGATTTAATAATATATTTTTTTATAAAGATAATAATTAGACATTTGTTAGAACTCAATGATTATCTTAATTATATTTTAGATTTTTTATATTTAAAATGAATGTTTATCTTGTATTTGATTATGTTTATCTGCAGTTAGTTATACAAATTTAAAAATAAAGTTGTATGTACTTATGCAAAAGTACTTGTAATCTTGAATTTTAAATAATATGAATCAATAAACAGTACTTCATTCATAAAAAATGTTTTAAGTGTTTATGTCAAATGTTTTATAATATATTATAGATAGCATGAATTATATTTTTTAAGTTCATTGTATATGTTTCTTTCGATTATGGTGAATTAACTTTTCTTTTTCATTAACCTGAATCTCCAACTCGTTACGTGAGCCAACTAATCCCAGGACGACCATCTGTTTTACAGGTAGCCCGGAGTCACCGTATTTGAACCTTCATGACCGCAAATGAATTTTTATTTCTCCTTGGATTTGAACCTGAGACCTCCAAATATTTTTTGCCTTTGGAGCTCAAACTCAAACCAATCAAACACCACCCTTGTAGTTAGGTAAATTAACTTTTTGAAATGTTACTTCAAGTTTTAGGGTCTATTTACTTGTTTCTTACCATCTTTTATCGGATAAAAGGTTCTTAGCATGGTAATAAGTTAACTGTTTATAAAGAAAAAAACAAACCTCTTACCGAAAACTAGTGTTGAACGACCTCTTTTCCAAATAAGAGACTGATGGTCTTCTTACCGGAATTAGAGGCCAAACATCCGGGTCGGGTTCTTCTCTTACCCATATCGAATAGAACACATTGAGCCAAATCTTCGTTATGAATGTCAACTAAGTATTGTAAGTAACTTGCTCCCGGCATAGGTGGTTTCTTGGTCACAACCAGTTAAAACTAAAGTTCCATTAAAAAGCGTGTTATCGTAGAAAATACTGTATTTGAAAATGGTGATGGCACAAATACATTCCAGCCGGTAAATTAAAATTGGGACCGACACAATTCACAGAAACCCAATTACAACCGTAAGAAAAACCCTCGAAAACTAATATCCCATGTAATACCTCCAATGGGGAGGCTATTTGTGTTTCTTGTTTTTCAAGAAATCCTAGGTTTCTATCTCACCTTGGAAATATGGTTTGGAGTTTTGATTGTTCACAAATACCAAAAACATGTCATCTTTTTTTTCTAAACTTTTTCTTCTTAAAAGTAACGTATTTTAACATGATTTATATTTTGATAATGTACTTTCAAAACTTTCATTTTGGTATCTAAGATCTAAAGTTTTAAACATTTAAGTATCCGGGGAACTGGTTGAAGTATTAACTGGTTACCATGCTGATGTAGTGAGTGATGTGGTATCCAACTCAGTATTATTTGCTGACATGGATATCTTAATCTAACCGGTTAATGCTTGAACATGTTTAATCAGTTAATGTTTCAACCGGTTACCCGAGTACTTAAATGTTTAAAACTTTACATCTTATGTATCAAAATGGATGTTTTGAAAATACGTTACCCAAAATAGGAACCAAGTTAAAGTACGTTATTTTTTCATGTAATTTATCCCTAGAATTACGATATTTATTTTTCATATGATTTTATATACAATTTAAAAAATAAAAATTGTAAGAACTAATAAGTACTTGTCATTATATATGATCAATTTAAGAGGATTTCTAATGGTTGTTTAAAGAAAGCTTAATCAAAACTTAACCATTGGAGTTAATGGCTTAAAAATCAACCACATGAAGTCTTATTGTACCAAGTCCTTTCTTCTTTGCTTCAATGATTTCAGCCAAAGGAGGAGGGTTGTATATGTCTTAATAGTTGGATATTATTGATCAACCAATGATTGGAATCAAAGAATTAGTAGATCTGTTCTGCCAAAAATGGTAACGGGCTTGAATCATGAACTTATAATCTATAATCTGATGATCGTAGTTATGGCCAAAAACCAGTCACGGGCCTCAACAGTGCCGGCCGTAACCGGTCCAGACGTAACCGTTCCTGGTCCCTGTAAAAAATGTTGAGCCCGGTTAAGGTTAGTTATAACCGGTTACGGTCAGCCAGTCCCGTTCCCAACCTGTCCCGACCATTGAAAAGAATAATTTTAAAATTTGTTAATGATAGATTTTTAAAATACATTAGAAATTTGTAATTGGGTCACTCAAATACACTTTTAAAATACGTTTTACTATAATTAAAATTACATTGTCAACCATATGATAAATATTTGATAAACGTTTGTTGTCTCGTCCCATTGTTATCCATCAATCACAAGAATACACATCATCAGAATTCAGAAACTATAAATATGAATTTGAACTAAATAAAATCAAAATATATAAAAAATGACTTGACTTTTCGGGGTATGGTACACAAAATTATGAATCTATTGATACAATTTATGATTCGTTAAATATGTAATTGAATGATTTTCAATCTTAAATTCAGAGCGATATATTAAAACACGCCAAGGAATTTGCAGACAAGAAGGCTGCTTGTAACAAACAGTGTCTTCTTGTCTGCAAATTGGATCATGACTTGAACATGTCCAAACAAGCACGCATACCCGGCTGGATGGTTCATGGCTAGTTTTGAAGGGTGGTGTCGTCAATAATACTTCTGGTCTTCTCTTTTCATGTTTATCTCCGGACTTCAATTCATGACGAACAAACCCACCTTTGATCATACGTGATTGTTAACCAGAGAGATCATTTCCGAATCCTCTGACTCCAGTACATCGTCGCCTTTTTTAGTCAATAGCAATTCAGACGGAAGGATGGATGAATCTGGATCATTTCTGGGAACCAGAAACAGAAGCCCAATTGGACAAAGTCTTGCAAAGCTTCGAATCAATACGACTGTCCATAAGTTGTCGAACTGTGTTCTTGTGACATTCAGTGCATGGAGTAAGAGTCCTCCCGCCCACGAGGATGAGAGCAACCCAACGTGATCAATCGACATTAACAGAGCAAAGAACGTGCCTTCGATTCCAGAAGGACATAACTTGGAACTCAGAACAAGAAGTGGCATCCATTTGAGACGTGCGATCATTTTAGAAACAGCTTCGTCCATCACTACGAAGATGTAGTCTGGTACGCCAAATTGTAAGTTTAGACGCAAAACCAACACTAAATCGAGAAGACTTGATGCACCAAACAGCAGTTGGGTCCAAAATAGTACGTGGCGGAAGGGATGGTTTCTGAACACATTTTGGTAGAGAAGAACACCCAAAAGCGAGCCGATTGCACCTACCGAAAATATGGATCCAATCACTTCCTGCATCAAAAAGGTGTACTCTTTTTAAGCATTTCATAAATGTAACCAATATTAATATCCTAAATGCTACACATTCTGCTTTAACCATCTATCATCATGTCTATCCACTACAATGAAATCGCCTCCATAGGATGCCAAAAATATTTAAAGGTATTATAGACTGCTTTATAGAACTTAATTTATAAGACAAAAGAATTGTGCGTCCCATGTAAAAATGTTACAATAGGATGTTAGAACGTTTTTAGGCATCATATCAAGTTTTTGAGGACACTTTATCAGTTTTTTTATGGATACTTTTGAGAAGTTTTATGAACGTATCTTTTATAAGGCACTTTTTCAAATCATGTTATATAAAAAGACTACTAGAATGTTATATTCTAAAATTGTCCTAAAAGACTTGTTAGAACAGCCAAAAACGTTCTATCAACTTATTATAACACATTTACATAAGACATAAATATTTGGTCATATAAACGTAAGTCCTATAAAGCAGACTATTAGGACATTTAGACATTTTCTGGTGTCCTGTAGCCAATTTTATTGTAGTGATCATGATTCATGACATGTGAAAAAGCATCAACCAGTTGCTAACAAAGCTTATAATGGGAAGTGTTGGCCTACCTGAGAAAAAGATGGGCCTGCTTTTGCATCGGTGTACCAATAGAACATTCCTTCGTGAATGTTCAACCCAAACGCAAGTGACAGATACATATACAAACACGGTCTCCAAACATCCGGGCATTTCAAAGCTGTCACCATAGTTTTAGTAGCGTCAAGAAACTTTTGGCTAACCTACACAAGAAACACTGGTTCAATTATAAAGATGATAAGAAAGAACGCAACAAAATCCCAGAAAGAAACCTAACACGCTTGTGAGAATAGCTATGGACAAGGGGTTCTTGCAACATCATCCCGACCAAAATCACCATCCCAGCAGGAATACTTAAGATTCCAAATACACCCTGCATGAAACGAGCACAAGCATGGTCAATAACAAGTCAATAATCATTCAGTAATAGTCTGCATGGGTTTTTCTCAAATCCAATTAAGCAAGAACTTCTAGGGGACTACATAAAATGAAAATTTTGTGACCAAAGAGTGGTTTCTAATGATACCTTAGGTCCAATTATATGAACAAGAACGCCACTCATAGCAAACCCAACGAGCTGGCCGATAGAGGTGCTAATTGCACACAAGCTCTGCAAATCGCCAGCAAGAGAAGGATGACTTATACTGTTTTCTGTTACACAGGCGTCAATGGTCACATCGGCTATAGCAACCCCTGCACTTGCTGTCATAAAAGACAATATGGCCCATACAAGAGACAAGTCTGTGCTAAATGCTGGTACTAGCATGGAGATGGAACCAACTAAACCTGAAAATATTGATTAACCAAATCAGATTTAACTAATCTTATTTCTAAAGAAACTTCTATCAACAAGCTATATACAATGCAAGTTTTGAAGATGCCAAATTAGAGACGGAAAGCTAGTATCTCTTTGAGGTCACATAGAAATAACTTATACAAAAGGGGACCTTTCTGGTGCACTTGGAGACCACCTCCATCGACTGACTTCGTGTAAAGAAGTAAAGAATTTTGTCCCTTGACTGTCATTAATACGTTCAAAATCGTGTTGAAGTATTCACCAACAAGTCTTATTAGCATTGTCTTGCAGAGTACATTTAGGGGCTGTTACCGAGTGTTGACCACTGCTGATTCAGTCAGCACGGCTGACTTGGTCAGCATCAGCATGTTTACCTAGGGACTGATCTGACTGAAGGTGCTGACAAAGCACCTACAAACCAGCGTTATTGTTTCACTTACCAGAACAGTTTACATACTTTCCACGCCTACCCTTTTCATTTCATTTACAATTTAATTATGCGATAGCTACCTTCCTTCCCAACAGAATTTCTAATGGTAATTTTTTTATCATTAAGCACTCACTACAAAACACACAGAAACAATTTCCAGTCAGGGCTTACTCAAACCAACCCTCTTACCCAATTAGCGTTCCCCCAATTTGTGTTGATAAACAGACCCTTAGTTCCTATCTTCATATCATGCATCCTTTTTCCTTTGGGAGCATTCAACATAGCTACTCAAATCACCTTCACAATCCCCATATCCAAATTCATGTAATGAAGTCATATCTTTCTAACAGGTATTTCTTGCACTAAATTAGCTTCATTAAACCTACTTCCATATAACTACATCAGTAGCCTATACTGAAACTGTAAGGAATTAAGGATTTATATAATGGAAAATTAACATAAATCTTTGAGACTAAGGTGTCGTTTACCAAACACTTACCCGGTAAGCAGTTACTGGTAAAATTTAACACTATCATTTACTTACCGGGTAAGATTTTAGTCCGCCAAAATGACATCGTATGCAACAATTGCGCTCACCGGGGTAACAGTCGTTGCTCTCACTCACCGGGTAAGGCTCTTTTGTCTCGCTCTTACTGAGTAAGATTATTGGTCCTTATCATTTTCATCCGGTAAGATAACGTGACTTGCTCTTACCGAGTAAGATTAGATTATTGGTCCTTGTCATATTCATCCGGTAAGATAATGTGACTTGGTAAGCGCTTACCCGCGTAAGAGTTTGATAAGCATCCCCTAACTATACTTTATGGTTTTTTTCCAAAATAAAATACAGGAGCACCCATTAAATTAACACAAAAGCAGCATTTGGTCAAAGCATATTCAATTTGGGATCAGAATTGAAAGAAAATAAGATACAGTTACAATATACCTGCAAATATGAAGTAAGGGCGCCTTCTTAATCTGAAAATGGGAACAATATCAGTCATAAGACCCCAAAGAGGTTTAATAATCCAAGGAATTTGAATAATCCCAGAGTAAAATTGTGCTTCAGAAGGTTGCAACTTCTGCACATCCTTCATATAGTACTGTACACTAACACGATACAATCCTATACTTGTACCCTGATTGATTCCATACACAATCACCACAGCCAACACAAATCTCCAGCTCAATTCGTCACTCAGCATTCTAAACCAATTTACAGGTCTCCAGATCAAATTTCCATTTGCTCCTTCTTTTCTTCTTACAAAATTATCTTCTTCGCGGGCCCCAATTTTCACCACTTCTTCGTCCATGTTCGCGAGGATTGCCAACAGCACAGCCAAGTAATTTTGTTCCTAATTCGAGGAACTATAAGAAACCCTAATCAGAAGTTTTAACTTTTTCCTGAAATGGTTAGGTGGAACCTTCGTCAAATATGAGAATTTGACGAAAGATGGATGAATTGGAGTTGGAATTGGGAATGGGTAGGTGGCATTGGGAATTGTAATATGGGTTTTTGACTACAATGGAGAAGGGTTTTACCGCAAAAGGAGACCATGGAGATCTCAAATGCGAGTGTACTGTGTACGATCATGTCCACACGAGTACCCCGCACATCACGTTTTCTGATAAATTGACAAAAAAGGGTAGTTATTTAAGGTTTAAAATGGTTTGAAGTGTGGCGGCGTGGTCAAGTTTAAAGTCGTAGGAATCACGACAAGGTTAAATTATGTAACTTACGTTAAGTAACTTGTCTAATCCACTTTTCGAATTAAATTAATGAGGAAACACAGGTATTACACAAGTTACGTAAGTGTTACTTTCATAATGTTTATGCAGAGCAGACCTCCTATATTCACTTACCCAACTTGCGTAATGCTGAATTTTTTCCTCATTTTTTTAATCCGGAAAGTAAATTACAAGTGACGTAATGTCACTTGCGTAATGTTCGGCTAATTCCATCAGTTAAGTCAAAATGTGTCTATATAATGAATATTAGAGGATTGATCGTCTATTTTAGTCAATTTCCCTATTTTTCTTATGTTTTATCACATAAATTTACATCTCAATTGTAAAAAAGTGTAGTATTACCCAAAAACCTGATCAATCCATCTAACTTAATTTGCAAACAGTTTAATTAAATTAATTCCTCCAAACCACCATATTCATTCCAACCCGTAATTAATATATTAATGTCGGTAAAAAAAATTATATTCTAATATACATATATACACAATCATACAGAGGCGGACTTCTAATTTTTTTCAAATGATGACACCGTTTGACTATAAAAAATAAACATATATATATTTTTTTCATAAAATCGTCATTTGTCTATTAGGAACTTCTTTGCTTTTCGTATGTTTGATCACGTGTTTGAGTCTTTTATTGCAGATCTTTTCAAAAACATAATAAACCGGAAATTAGAAGTTGAAAACTAATAAAATGACACAGAGGTTATTCAAACTCACACATTGGGTGGAAGAAAAGACATGCAAACCAACTCTACCAAAGGAAATTTGTATCATATTTGTAGTTTCAAAATATATACGATGACACCTTTTACGATCCTAACACTTTTTGCAATGAAGAAACAAAGCAATGGTCACGCCACCGTATCCAATAGTGTGGGCCCGTCACTTCTATTTTATAAACCCATCTCAAAATCCCCGGCCCATAATTAGTTGTGGAAATGGACCCTGATCTTCCAATTTCATTAGTTCAATTCAGAATTGGTCTTTGGAATCATTTCTTGCTTTCAATTTGTAAAAGTTATTAATTTTTTAAACATTTATGATGATTTAAACAAATCAATTTATATTACGATGATCGTAATAATTTGTTTGGGTGAATTTTAGTAACATTTCTCGTTTTCATTCGTAAAAGTTATGAATAATATTGACCTGTAAAGTCAACCCAACCCAACCCAACCCAACTCGTAAGGGTTGGATTATTATTATTTTACAATACTCCATATTTTATATTCAAACCCCAATAATACCCTTTATTTGAATAGAAATTAAGAAATATTATGGAATTTATTTATCTATCACCAAGCTAGTTATGATATATATCGGAAAATGTGTCTTTTGGACTTGAACCTTTCATAGTGAATAACTATCGACTCTATTTTAGTGGGCAATGAACTAAGGTCTTGAACTAACCACTTTTTGTAGTAGATCGAGATAATATGTATCACAAATATCAAATCTACACATGATTTAATTCTTACCGATGTGTTCATTTTGGTTGTGACTTGTGAGTAGATTCTTTCTTCATGAGAGTTTTAGAAGACGTAGCCAATGTCAGTCTCACATAAGTAATGTTGATCAAGAATATTACATAGTATTCCACTGTGATAGCTATCACCGTTATTAAGAATATAAATTTCATCCATAAGTCATCAAAGAAAATATACATATAAAAGTCATCACAGGAATATGCATACTTCTGTACAAGTGTCGCTTGAGTGATCCACATTGTTGCTAGGTTAGGTTGGCGTTGAGGAGAACTCATTGTATCGGCTTTAAGCTCATTCCCCTCGATGAAAATGATACTTACTCTCTACTTATGCCTTTTATTAAATGATCGACAATATTCTCCTTCGACTTTACGTAGTCAATGGAAATGATTCTATTTTTCAGCTATCGTATGTATGTGTGTGTGTGTGTATGTGTGTGTGTATGTATGTATGTATGTATGTATGTATGTGTGTATGTATGTATGTATGTGTGTATGTATGTATGTATGTATGTATGTATGTGTGTGTATGTGTATGTATGTATGTATGTATGTATGTATGTATGTATGTATGTATGTATGTATGTATGTATGTATGTATGTGTGTGTGTGTATGTATGTATGTATGTATGTATGTATGTATGTGTCAAAACTTACCATTGTAGATTTGATTATTTGCTCTTGTTAGAGCAACCATACTATATACACAAAATAAATAGTACTATTTTGATCAAAATCAACCAATTGGATTATTAGAGACTGTAAAGAGTAAAAGACCAAACGAGAAGTTGATCAAGTTGTTAGAAGACGGAAAGTTTTAAAACCATATATCATTACACGTGATACAAGCGTATTAATCATATATGACTAAATACATTCAAAGCAACATCTATAAGTATGATCTCTTGACCAAATCAAACACATGAATGTTTTGAACCCTGCATTTGGCTTTCAAAACAGTGTTGATTCGGTTAACACGTTTCCCCGACTTTGCCCATTTTGTTATCAAACATCTCTTGAATTAATGAGGGGCTTTACCAAATGTTTACTGTGTAAGCTCTTATTGAGTAAGCATGACAATGACTGGGGAACTTGTCCAGTAAGAGGCATATCAAGAACCAAGAATCTTGTCTGGTAAGAACCATAGCAATGACCGATAACCTTACCCGGTGAGTGTGAGATAAGACTCTTACCGATAAACATTTACCAGCTAAAAGACGTTTACACATAACCCATTTTGATGACGGAGAATGTTACCTGATAACATAAGCGAATGTGGTAACTCTTGTCAGTAAAAGTTTACCCGAAATTACTTCTTGTAACTAAAAACATATATCAAAATTAGATTTTAATTTAATTATTGTATTTTAAAATTGTACAACCCAACGTCCCAAATGTTGTCCTTTTTGCCATTTAAGTCAACATTGGTCTAAAAGTCATTTGTTTCGTTACATGGTGTTTATTATTTAAAACGACTTGAGATACATTTTAATTTGTAACAATTATAATACATAGGTCCTTTTTACCGGATCCGATAAACGTCACTTAACGATTAGAGTCCAAATTGTCTGCTATTGTTTCATAGTCGAAGTTCGACCAAACATTCCATTCTCATACCGATATCACATGACATGAATATCGAAAAATCCCAAACGAAAATATGACACAAGTGACCTTTCAAGAATTTCAGATGTTATTAGATCAGTATGACCATTTTTGTCTTTCCCGATATGCTCCCATGTATAATTATTCTGACATATATATTGGTTGATACCTTCCAAAACATAACTTATATTTTTATAAAGCGATAAATTCTTTCACAAAATTCGATGTAATGAATATTCAAAACATAGAGAGAGCGATGGCCAACATATTGAACAAGAAGGGCCCCATGAGAGATCGTCTTTAAAACGAGCCGTAAATTTGGTGCACCTAAAATAGACGGTCATCATTCCAGCCATAACTTGTACTCAACCATCTTCATTTCATTCATCGTTATGTTAATAAATAGAACGTGTATATCTGACTCAAGTAACCTTTTATATTTAATTAAATATGATAAATTAAATGAATTATATAATAAGGTAAGATAGATGATCGATAAAAATCAATAATAGGTCCAAATAAATCAGGTTAAAAAATGGATTATTTTAGGATCGTTTAGACCAAATTAACATGTCCTCATTTCTGTATACCTTGAACACTAAAACTTTTATGTTTATGTACTGGATATATCAGTAATAAAAATTTTACCAAATCAAGTCATGTAATTAAACTAATGATTCATGTACACACGATTTTTTAGAACTATGAGACCATCCACTACCTTTGGGACTGTTTGACAGTTACTGAATGGTTTGATGCAAAATGATTGAGTGCTCAGAATGATTAAGATCTCATTATATAGTGCAAAAAGAAAATATAATTGTTTGGTAAATGTTTACAATGAAATTAGGGTGTTGGATGGTTAAGGGAAGCCCATGATACAAAATCATTATGAGGATTTTAGAACTATTAAAAGACATATTTTTCTTTTGTCAAACAATATTCACCTCTTAACGATCCATAGACTACATCTTAATGGAACTATTAAGAAGTAAGCAAACAATCGATAATATTTTAACTGGTACATCAACTTATTAACAATTACTTTTGTTATTTCATTTCATATATCATAATCAAATTAATTTCTTAAATGACCGTATTTTCATAAAATTCTATACTTTATTCAGATAAAAATAAAATTCCAATTAAATATTCTTTACTAGATTTATGCCATATCAGTCATTTTCGCCTACGTAGCATTTTAGCAATCCATTTCGGTATTACCACAATGGATGGTCTCAGCTAAAATCACCTTCTATAACATTAATAGTTCTTACGAAAATGTAAGAAAAACAATTCACCAAACTGCCATCTCCCGAGTTCTTCGAAACCCAGTAATTTGGAATATACAAGAAATCAAAATTACGAGAAATGACACTTACCAAATATACATGACCAGTAACTGATACATTTATTACGTCGTATTCAATTTCAAATGCATGTTCATTAAATCTAAACAGAGATACCATGTTTAACTTAACATATAAGTCTGTAACTATTAACCAACCACCTAAAATATCTATTCCTAACACAATACTGAAAAGAAAAGTAGATACAATTAGGGCCGTTTACTGAACATTTACCGATAAACATTTATCGACAAGATTTTATCAAATTCACTTACCTTTGGGTAACATTTTCGGCTATCAAAATGAGTTGTTGGTAAGCGTTGACCGAGTAAAAGTCTTCTATCGCACATTCACACTCAAGTCTTGTTATACTTCTTACTAGATAAGATTCTCAAACTTTACTTTGCTCAACATCTGTTAAAGGTATATAGAATTATAGATTTTTTTTTATTAATATGGATATCCAACTCGTTATACGAGCCGACTAATCCTAGGACGACCACTTGCTTTGTGGGTAGTCCAGAGTCACTGAATTTGAATCTCCGTGGTCACAAGAGAAATTTTATTTCTATTTGGATTTAAACCTAAAACCTCTAGACACTTTTGACATTTAAAGCACAAATTCAAACCAATCAAATACCACAATTGTATTTAGAATTATAGACTTGTGGATTATTTAAACTGGAATTGGTTATAGAGATATAAGTCCAACGTGAATATTTTTCCAAGAGAGTTTTTAAACAAAGTCAGACATCCTTGTCATGATCACGTGAGCACGTGACCTCCAAAATTAATCCATATATCTTGCTTTACCAGAAATAATATAATAATTAAATAAATAAAAAACATTATTTAACTATATAATATAGTATCTATAAATGTGTTACAATTATGAATTCGTACCTATCTCATAGGATTTTGCTTTAAAGAATCGCAATGAACACAAAATGTGGCCATATTGAAATTATTATGAATTTCTGGTACTTTAATTTAATTTATTTTTAAACCACAATTTTTAATTTTGTAATTAATAAAATTTATTAAACCTTAACTTATTATCGAATACCTTTAAATCAAATATATCTATACTATATCATAAAACATTTAACAAAAAAACTCTTAAAAATCATTTTTATGCATGAAGTACTGTTTATTGATGCACAATACTTAAAATTTAATATTACAAGTAATTTTACGTAAATACATTTGAATTCAAAAATAAAAACATTACCGCTTTCTCAAAACCACGTAAAATCGTATTATATTGATAAAAACAAAGAATAAAAACTAAACATTAAAATGAAGATTTATCTCGATGCATTGCACGAGTACCTTTTTAGTAAATTAGTAATGGAACGAACAATAATCACTTATTTTATACTATATTATAAAACATTTGACAAAAACTATTAAAAATCTTTTTTATGCATAAAGTACTGTATATTGATGCATATTACTTAAAATTCAAGATTATAAGTAAATTATGCATAAGTACAACTTATTAAAGCTTTATGTTTGAATTCGTGCAACTAACTGCAGATAAACATAATCAAATAGTGGATACACATCTCATTTTAAAAAATAAAAAATCTAAAATATAATTAAGATTATTATCGAGTTCTAACAAAATAATTAATTGTTATCTTTATAAGAAAATTATATTATTAAACCAAATATAAATTACTTCGTTGTTATTGAATCAAAATTAAATTATAATTAAAAAAAATTGAATTAAAAAGTTACACAAAAAATGAGGAATTTTAAATAGTTATTTTGATACTAATATTAATATATTTTTGTTAAATTTTTATGATATCTTCAAATTTATATTTTATTCAAAAATAAAAACATCATCTTTTTTTTCATAATCACGTAAGACTATATTATAACATCGACTGATATAAAGAATAAAATAAAATATTAAAATCAAGATGTATCTCGTTGTATTGCACAAGTACCCTTTTAATATTGTTTAATCTATAAATGTTTTAAAAAGTTAAGAAGTTTTATTGGGATCGATCCCGTGATGGTCAGGAGATGATTTGGGCCTAAAAAGCAAAGAAATGTAAAATTAGGGCACAAATGACAATTAGTAAAACCCAAAATAAACCCTCACCGTCGGATCCAATTCAAGTCCAAACAACAGAAAACACAAGACAATTGCACTTGAAAGGCCGCTTGCAGACGGCCATCTTCTCTCACTCGTCAGTCTCACACAGTCACACTCTCACCCACACAACAAAACCCTTTTCTCCCCCTCACTGATTCAGCCGGCTCGCACTGATTTCCCCCACTAATCCAAAACCCCCATTGTTTATATATAATATATATATATTTCTCTCTCTCTCACATCAATTGCTTTTATATGGCCATCACCATGGTCATTGGATGATGACCCAGTCCCCTTTCTTCATAATTTGATCTCTCTCTCTCTCCCCTACTCTGCTTGTGTAGACTGTAGAATTAGCTTCATTTCTTCGATAGAAATTGAAGTTTTAATGGCGAAGATTTCACAGAAGAAGAATGCGGCATCGAATGGCAACAATGAAACCAAGCCAGTCATTGGAAAGCCTAAGAGAACACGTAAGACGGTTCAGAGAGATTCCCCTCCACAACGTAGCTCAATCTACAGAGGCGTCACCAGGTACGATTTTCAATCTCGAAGTAATTTGATTTTTTTTTTTTTTGTTATTTAGAGATTGAATTTGATTCCGTTTGAACATGAAGGCATCGATGGACTGGTCGTTATGAAGCTCATTTATGGGATAAGAATTGCTGGAATGAATCACAAAACAAAAAAGGAAGACAAGGTTTTCTTCTTTCTGATTCAAAATTAAATCGTGATTACGTTTTCATTTCTTCGATTCAACTTATAACTTGAATTTCATTTTCTTACTGATTTCCATGAAAATGGTGGCGATTCCTACTGAAACACAGTATATTTAGGTAAGCTTGGCATCCATATCTGGATTCTGGATGCATCTTGGTTCAATTTCATTACTGTATCAATAAATTACAATACAAAAAGTGGGAAAAATGGTGTTTCCAATTCAAAATACTTTCAAAACTTATCCAAATTCGTGATATTTAGGGGCCTACGACGATGAAAAAGCCGCTGCACATGCATATGACTTGGCAGCATTGAAGTATTGGGGACAAGACACCATCCTCAATTTCCCTGTAATTTATTTATTTCAAAAATATTAATATTTATTTATTCAAATTTAATTTCCTAAAAATGAATTAATACGTGTTCATGATATTTTGCAGCTCGAAACCTACAAAGAAGAGCTTCGAGGCATGGAGGGTTTGTCAAAAGAGGAGTATATCGGATCTTTGCGCAGGTAACACCTACTTAAAAATGTAGTCAGATTCATACGAGAACAATAACCAAATAAGAGAAAAAGAAATGTGATTCACGCGACTTTGGTCACGGCTCATTCTTGCTTTGACTGTTTTCATGTTTTTCTATTTGATTATTGTTCTCGTTTAAACCTCTCTTGTGAAGAACTTTTTAAAGTCACATATTTTGCTTGATGATTTGCATCTTGGTTCTTTCTCTAAATTACTGTAAATATATATTCTTATCGTAGAAAAAGTAGCGGTTTTTCACGAGGAGTTTCAAAATACAGAGGCGTAGCAAGGTATTTCCAATGACCGTGTTAGTCGGTTTTCGGAACAGTAAAATAAGCAATTGTATTCATTTGGTTCTTGTTTAATGTGTAGGCACCATCATAATGGTAGATGGGAGGCTCGTATTGGCCGGGTTTTCGGTAACAAGTATCTGTATCTCGGAACATACGGTAAACTCCTATTTTAATTGTTTGTTTTTATTCTTTTATATCTTTATGTTAAATTAAATATTAAATATGATATATATAAAAAAGACCAAATGAAAAATGACATTGTTGAAGTAAGACAATTAAAATATAACCATTATAAATATCCCTTTTGGAGTTATTGAATAAACAAATGAAGATGTGTTTTTTTTTTCTAATTTGAAAATAAAAAGCAATATATTTACCATCACCCAAACATCTCCATCAAATGTGAGGTGTGTCTTGGCCGTTTACTAAACACTTATTAAGTGTTTACAGGTAAAATTTAACACTATTACTTATCGAATAAGATTTTGGAGTATCAAAACGACATCGTATGCAACAATTTACCTGGTAAACGTTTACCGGATGTTTGATTGAAATGGGATGAAAGAGAAAATACATTAAAGGAAGAATAAATGAAAGAAGAGGATGCAGTTGGTACAATAGATGACCAACCCTCAACCGCTTAGCCCATTGGTCGTGATGTTAAGAAAATTGAAGGCTTGGTTAGTCAACCCCATGGTCCCAACTCCCAACCCTCCACCAAATATTTCATGCACATAACTTTGAATTCAATACCACCAAATATTATTATGGTTCAACCAAATGAATCCTTTCTCCTCCTCCTACTCTCTTTAGTCGAACATCACACATACTCCACTTCATCCATATAAGGGTATTTGAGATTGTTTATAAAAATAACTTATTAATTTATTCCGGTATGACACCAATAATAAGCACTTTTAAGTGTTTGGATATACAACTTATACCAGTTCCAAACCGATAATATGGAGTTCTTGAAGAAGTTAAATCATTCTAACTTATAATAAGATGATAAAGACTTTTGTAGAAAAACATAAGTTGTTTTCAAAATAGAGCTTTAATAAATTGACCTTACGCACAATGTACTTGTAATATTGAATTTTAAATAATATGTATCAATAAACAGTACTTCATGCATAAAAAATAGTTTTTAAGAGTTTTTGTCAAATGCTTTCTAATATAGTATAAAAATAGATCCAAATTTAATCGATGTGAGACTCGTTGACAAACATTAAAGTGGCGGTGATTCTTGTAAAAAAGTGGCGGCACATGCTACTCCTAATATATTCAATAGCAGCATGACATTTTTTACAAGCCTTGGCGGTACCACCATTGAAATTCGTTTTGTACTATGACTGAACAGCTTTGCAGAAAATTAAGAGGCTGCGGTATCATATCTAAATTTAAATTTGAGTTTAAATTGTTAATAACTATGAAACATAAAAGTGTAAATCATTGAAATTAGAACTGTCTTTTTAGTGTTTTGCACCTAATTTGAAAGTATAATTAATTTATATTGTATTATATTATATTTTAGAGTGAACGGTGGATTTGGTCTCTGTGTTTTGATTTTTTTATTATGGTTTCCATAGTATGTTTATTGTGGATTTGGTTCTTGTGGTATTCAATTTGTTCTGGCAATAGTCCATTTGACTAATGTCAACGTTAACTCTGTTAAATCAAGGGTTATTTTAGTCTTTTATCTTTTTTTCTATAAAATAAATAAAAACGATATTTTTATACAAATATGGTTTTATAGTATGATAATTATTTTTTGTAGCTAAATTTATGAATATACCCCTGAACTTTGTGATGTTATCACTCAGCCACCCAAGAAGAAGCGGCGACGGCTTACGATATGGCAGCAATAGAGTACAGAGGACTTAACGCCGTTACAAACTTTGACCTGAGCCGTTACATCAAGTGGTTAAGACCCAACCAAACAGATCCCAACAACTCAAACGGTATCCAAATTAACCCTAGTCAACATCCAGGGTCAAGCTCCCTTTCCAACAACCAAAACCAGCAACCGGAAAGCTCAAGCTCCGGCGAAACAACCACCAGTATACCTCCGCCACCTTCCTCAGCCCTAGGGCTACTGTTGCAGTCCCCAAAGTATAAGGAAATGATGGAGATGACCTCGGCGGTTGACTCCCCTTCGACGCCGCCGGAATCAGATCGGCCTCGGCGAAGCTTCCCTGACGATATACAGACCAATTTTTACTGCCATGATTCCAACAGCTATGCCGAGGGTGATGACAATATTTTCGCAGATCTGAATTCATTTTCTGCACCTATGTTCGAAAGCGAGCTTGACGCATAAACCGGTGATCGGAGCAAGTTCAACGACGCTGACGGTAATGATGATTTTAGGATTTACTTATTTGACTTGCAGAGAGACGAGAGTTTTATTCATCTTTCGTTTTGTCTCTAATTTAAAAATTATTTCTAAGTGTAGATATACCTACCTATCATGAGGCATAGACATTCATTGATTTCTATACTTTTTTCCTCAAGAAAAAGAAACCTAATAAAAATGTTGCAGGCATCAAAAGCCTCATTTCTTTAATTGTTTTCAAACTGTGTTTGTCTGAGCCTAACTTGTGCCCACTTCGATCTTGGAGAACAGTCAAGGAAAATTCTCAACGTTCTTGCATCCACTTTGATTAGAGTCTTTTCGAAGGCGCGAAAGTTTGCATTTTATCTTTGATTTGAATCGATGATTTAATTGGTCATAAAATAAGTTGTTTTGGGTTTTGGCATTTGATCCATCATCGTTTTGGTTGGTTAGTTTATGAAGCATCGTTTTAAACATTGATTTGGAGTCAATAAATTCAAAAAGCATCAATTTTCAGTACCTGCCAAATTAATATTGGAAATGATGTACCAAATCTTTAATGGTGTTGGCATATAAAAGCTACATGTGGCAGTGGCAACACATAAAATACGGCCAACATGTTGCATTAACTCGTTTCAAACCAACCAAACTTTGACTTAAATTTGATAGGTTTTTTAATCGGCAAATTGCATGAAAAAGTAACGTATTTTAACTTGATTTTTATTTTGGGTAACGTACTTTTAAAACTTCTATTTTGGTACTTAAGATGTAAAGTTTTAAACATTTAAGTACCCGGGTAACCCCATGAAGACTAATTTTAGACTAATTTTTAGATTAAAACAAATCCATGTCACTGACTAGGTCAACAAATAATACTGAGTTGGATACCACATTACTCGCCACATCAGTATGATAACCGGTTAATACTTCAACCAGTTACCCAGGTACTTAAATGTTTAAAACTTTACATCTTAAGTACCAAAATAGAAGTTTTGAAAATACGTTACCCAAAATAGAAATCAAGTTTAAAATATGTTACTTTTTCATGCAATTTGCACTTTTTTTAATTGACAAAATATGTGCTTCATTTCAAGCTAAAGCCAGCTGCTGCTACAGCTAATGTCACATTATGTACTTTGACACGTCTAATAAATAAATGTCCCCATATGTGTATAGGGCCGGTTTAAGTAAAAACCCCAAATACTATGACAAGGTAAATAGGAAATATTCATATGTGAATTATTGAATGTCTTAATGTTATAGAAATATATAATTGTCTAGTAATGTCTTAATGTTGTAGAAAATGACTTATCAGAACATGACTCACAGAAAGTTAAGTTTTTTTCTAAACCCGCTCCTTCTATCTATGAAAAAACCCTTTCGAACTAAATTTTCTCAATCCATACGGACAAATTAATTCATACAAGACAATTTTAGACATAATAAAAAACCAACCAAACAGCTCCTTGATTTTTCTTATTTAAACCTAACCTTGGTAAATTGATGTAAAGACATAGACAAATGATTAATTGCCTCAAGAAACTTTGAAAATAAGAGATATATATCATAAGGAATGATAAAGAGAATTTGAAGTCGAAGTTAACAAATTTCACAATTATGTCAAAGCTCTTGTTGATAAACCCATTTCAGCAATCAGAATGTGTTCACATTGTGCAGCAAAGCTTTGAATCGATAGACGCCAAACATATGCTGAAGGCCTGATAACCGGTTAGCGGATATCTGAAAAGCAAATGCACGTGTATATATAAAAAAACCCTCATGATTTCGTAGAGAAAACACAAACTAGATGAATTATGTTGTTAATACCTGTAGTCCATCACATACTTGGACTTCCCTATCCTCCCAAGTTGCAAAATTGTTTGTCTTCCATTTTTCTGAACACCGGAAAATACAGATCAAAACCTCAACCAAAAGTTGTGACATTTACATTTTCTTTTAAGTATATAATACTTATATGCAACAAATAAACTCAACATACCCTCCTCATTTTTGGTGAGGTTTGAACCCCTGACCTCGTAGGAGACCAAAGGGCTCTGGTGACATCCACCCTTTTTCATGCACCAAATTTTGTGAACTTTTGCATTTGTTTGTTGGTTAGTTCATTTATATATTGTCCCTCATTCACCATTTTATGGGTAGGATCTAAATATGCATATGGAAGAAAGAGGCATAAAAACTCACATTCTACATAGGTTTCACCCCCTATATGTATATCAAGGAAAGGCAAGTTTACCTCCAAAGTCAACTGGAAGTTCTTGGCTGAACTCTGGATTTTAAGTCCTGCTGCTTTTCCCCTATTTCTGAAATCCAACTCATATTGCTTTGAGACCTGGATCATAGCAGAGTGTTTAGAAGAGAGCATTCATAATCTATTAAATTCATTCGTATGTCTAGAGGGAAGTGCCATTAGAAACCCAAAATTGATTAGGAACCTGGGAACCATCCACATCATGCCACGTATCTCTCTTCATTCATCATGAATAACACATTCAAGATGAATATTCATCATGAATGTGGTTACATATTCCTGATGAACCACACAATCATGATGAATTACACATCCATATTCCTGATGAATATGCCACGTGTCCTGCTGTGGCTAGTTCCGGGGTTTCTAATCAGTTTTAGGCTCCTAATGGAACCTGCCCATATATATGTAAACTTTACATTGTTGTAGTGTGGAACTCTTGAGAACAACTGATGTACTCTGTCCATTCTCTCTTCCCAATCCTTCGGTAGCCCATTGATATGTTGTGCCTGGACCAGAAACATACCACACATAAAGACCATGCTCATATTATGCAATACGCATAACGTTGAATACAAATGCTTGTATATATATACTCTTGTTTCTAACCTGAGTTGTGTTCTTCAATTGCATAGACTGATGTTTTGGGAGCCATATCTTCATGCTCCTATAACTTCCTGTCCATGTTGCTATTGTGGGCACAAAGCTATTTTGGGGAAAAGGGAATTGGTTTAATTCGGTAAATGCGTAGTTATAAGGGAAGATCTTCATGGTTTTGCCATGCAAAAGAGATATAGAAGGAGATGGAGCTTACGCTACTAATGCTAGAAGTTTGGAGTGTTTGGTCATGGAATTAACGCGTCGACCCTGCAACCAAATGAATTATTAGAGCTGTCAGAATATGTAAAACCCCATTAGATTACTCTGTCAAAAATGCCCTCTAGGATACAAGGAAGGTTTCAACATATATGCATAGAGAAGAAATGGTCCAGATCTAGCTGATGTGGACTCCAACAGAGGCTAGACTGACACAAAGTGTCAAAATGGTTGACCTTGACTCTAATATCCGGTGAGAACATGTAAAAGTGAAACCCATTAGATTACTCTCCAAAAGACTCTTTTGGAGACCAATCTAATGAGGTTCCACATATTTTCACAAAGAACGACTAAAGAAGTATCTTGTTAGAGACCGAATTTTGGATTTCAAGAGGTGAATATGTAATCCCCACAAAAGCTATAACGATTGTAGTGAAGTTTCAAAAATGGACCTGATCCCATATATGGTATTTGGAACCCATGAGATTGGCAGTCACACTCCCTACATAACTATCATCTGCACAACATAATATGCCTTTTGTATTCTGAGCAATTATGAACTCCGATCTACCGTTGTGACGTCTATGATGAGCCACAGCAAGTTTCCGATTTTGCCTTCCTTGACCCTCCTATACAAATTCAAATTACAATCCAAAGTAATTAAGCACAAACCATCAACATAATAGAATCAGAAAAGATCAAAGTTGAGACACAATGCTACTCTTGACTACACATAATCAGACCATCACGAACTCAGAACCTTTGGAGGTTCTTCGAGCTAATCACAACCACTTGGGCAAACTTAAGGGCCTGTACAGCAGCTTAATGAGCTTAATAGACTCACAGCTTACTCGGTCAGCTATACATGATTGTTTGGTAGTGGCTTAATGATATAGAAAGTGGCTTATTTAGTAAGCTTTTAGGGGACCTTTATGTAGAAAGCCAGGTTTTTTCCAAACTTGCCCTTTCCAATTAAAAAAAAAACATGCTCATTCCATCTATGAGAAAACCCTTCCAAATCCATAAAGACAGATTAATCCATACAGACAGCTTGATCCATACGGGACTTAATAAAAAACCAACTAAAGAGCCCCCTTAGTTCCAAATTCCTTTTTATCTGTAAATCTAAATTAGACTGGTCATTTCATTCCCATATGGACATCATACAAATATTAAGGTCTGAGTCCACAGATAGATAAAATGCAAGCACCGGAGCAAGATAACTTAGGTCATGTTTTAGCAGCTTAATGAGCTTAACGAGACTCGCAATTTATTTGGTCAGCTATACATGACTGCTTGATAATGACTTAATGATATAGAAAGTAGCTTATCGAGTAAGCGTGTAGAGGGCGCTTTATGCAGAAAAAACCTTTCCATCTATGAGAAAAACCCTCCAAAACAAAAACTTTTTCAATCGATACATACAACTTTATCCATACATGATATATCAACTCGAAGAGTTAGAGACAACATTACATTGGTGTAGAGCGTATACAGTGTTCCACCATTCAGCCCGTCGACCGACTTTTCCTTCACAATAATACAAGTACACCTTCCTATATCCACAGGCAAAGGCCTACACAACAAAGACCTGAAAACAGATATACACAATCCCAATGTCAAAATGCTACTAATAACAATCACAACATTCAATCTTCAACAACGATCAAAAGACGAACCTGTTGGGGAGTGTAGACCATGAGGAAGCGGGTGCAGCCTCGGAATCCGAATGATCCCAAATATTTCCCGAATTGTTTTTGTTGGAACCAATGGGTTCATAGAAATTGGAACCAAAGGTTGGATTAGGGTCATTCAATTGCATACAGAGCTGCAGCGAAGATGGCTTCCAAGCCCTATCTTTCAAACGGGTCTTGGCAATCGGTGGTTGTTTGGAAACGACGATGTTAGAATCCACATTCTCCTTGTCGTCTGGCTTGCAATTGTTGTTCTTCATCTTATTGGGTTCTGAATTCTCTTTATCATCCGACAAATTGGCGATAATTTGAGGATCATGGATGGGGTCGCTGGAGCTACGATTGTGTTTGATTTCTGTAAGAAGGGTTGGAATTTGCCATTTGGGAAGAGAAGAAGAGGGTTTAGAGAAAGATGAAGTGGGTGGTTGCTGCCAATGCCATAGATGGTAAGTTTGAATTTGAAAAGAAAGGGGGCTTTGGGGGAAGTGATTTTGGGAAATGGGTTGGATTTATGTGAGGAGATGGTTGCTAATAACGGTAACTATTTAGGATCCCTTGAAGCGGGAACGATGTTTAAACATCAAAAATTGGGGTTGGTGGGTTTCTAATAAATGCTTTGTGGGGTCACAATAATTATTCATTATGACTTTTTTGATTAAATTGTAATTAAAACTTGAGTAAATTACGATTTTGTCCATGTAATTTGTAAAGGATTGTGATTTTTTTTTTGTCTTAGGTGGTTATGAAATTATGATTCGTTCTATAATTTATTGTTGTTTTTATCTCTGAGATTAAGAAGTTGTTTCTTAAATGTTTATCGGATAAGTGCTTACTGATATCACCTACCATACTGATTGAGCATGACAAAGATTAAGAATCGAGAGTCTTAGAAGTCGTTTAGCAAATGCTTATTCGGGTAACTATTTACAAAGTTATATTGCGTTGAAGGATAAATATGACAAGGACCAATAATCTTATCCGGTAAGAGCGAGACAAGGACCGAGAGTCTTATCCGGTAAGTGAGGACAATGACTCTTACCCTGGTCAGCTCTTACCGGATAAATTGTTGCATATAAAGCCGTTTTTGTTGACTAAAATCTTACTCGTTAAGTAAATGATAGTGTTGAATTTTATCGCTAAGTATTTACCAAGTAAGTGTTTGGTAAATGACCCCTTAGTCTTAGGGGCCGTTTACCCAAAATGCTTACCTAGTAAGCGATTACCAATAGGATTAGGAGTCAACACTATAATTTACTTTGATACGTAAGATTTTAGTACATCAAAACATATCAAATGCAACAATTTACTGGGTAAACACTTGCATGGGTAAGAGCCTCCATCATCACTTACCGGATAAGACTCCATTTTTCTCATCACTCTTACCCGGTAAGATTCTTGGTCCTTTTCATGTTCATCCGATGAGGAAATTTATGCGTTAAGCACTTACAAAATAAGTGTTTAGTAAACAGCCCCTTACTCCGTAAGGAAGGAAAAATGCTCCTACCCAATAAACATTTACTATAAAATAATATTTCTGTTGAAGAAATGAAAGTGTAAATTAAAAGGGAATTTAGTTTTTCTTTTGGAGACCCAACATTTGGTGTAACTTTTGTTCTTACCAACATTTCAACTTTTGGTTTTTTTTCTTTCTAAAAATGTAAGAAAAACAATAACTTTGTGCCTTTAAAATATATTTATTAAACAATATTAAATTTTAATTCAAAAAATAAATTCAATATATAATATTCAACCAAGTTGTAGGAGGTTAGGGTATTTGGCTTAGCGGTATTTGAGTTTTTGGCCTTATAAGAGATCAGAGGTTTAAACATCACTAAAGTGAGGAAAATGTATGAGTTTATTTGTTTTATTTGTCGTATATAAATCTTATATACTTCAAAAGAAAAAAAAATTATAGTGCAAAACTTGAATTAATAGGAAATAGTGGTAAAAGCGAGAATGCTGATATAAAAATCAAAACGAACGGTAAAACTAAGCCCTCTCGGATACTTTCTTAAGAATAAGAAAGAAAAACCGTAATATATTATAAATAAATTTAGTTTTTAACAAATGAAATGATCAACTAATCATTATTTATATTAAAAAAAAATAAACATTATTTTAATGGATTTTCTGTCTAAAAACAATGTGGTCATTTTAACAGTTTTGTTCTGTCATGTCCTAGTCGTACCAAACATAGGACAGACAATTAGTCATGTCGCGTCCCGTCCTGTCCCGTCATGTCATGTCTAGTCTGCGTATCAACCGCTACCTTAAAGAAAACAAGTTATATTGTAGTTTTATATATTAGTCAATTAAAATTTACCATAAAATATACACGAAATTGGTTTTAGTTCATAAGTTTTCTTGACTTATTCACAGTGATTTGGAATCACATGACACCACCCTGTTTTCATAAGATCTATAAGGATTCGGCTTTTTTTAATAAGGTAACCTTCACAGTATTTTTGCTGTGGATGTTCGATTTTTTTTATCTTCACAGTGTTTTGCTGTAAAGTTTCAAGTGTAAAAAAGTGCTCTCACGGATATCACAAAAACAAGCTGGTCTGACGTGAACCCAACCCTATTTATGGTTATACTTTATATATTATTAGTCAATTTTCTTATTAAATTATATTTTAAATCAAATATTGTATTATTTTTTTTTAAGAATTAAATATATAATATCGTTTTGGAGCTAACTAGATTCGGTGATCTACATTACCTGCTTTGAATTGATAGATCCTCTTTAACATTTAAAGTTATATTGTTTCTTTCATTATCGGGTGTTGTGATACAACAACAATATTTAAGGTCCGTTTACCAAACGTTTAACCGGATAAGTGCTTACTAAGTCACATTATTTTATTGAATGAATATAACAAGGATCAATTATCTTACCCGTTAAGAGCGAACGCAAGAACTGAAAGTCTTATCCGGTAAGTGATAACGACGATTCTTACCACAGTTAGTACTTACTGGGTAAATTGTTGCATACGATACCATTTTGGTGGACTAAAATCTTACCTTGTAAGTAAGTAATAGTGTTGAATTTTGTCGGTAAACACTTACATGGGTAAGCGTTTGGTAAACAACCCTTTACTTTTTGTTATATTTTTTGTACTTACTTAGGTAACATATTTTTTTCTAGATGGTAGAGATGGTTAAATCGAGTTCAACTGAAAACCGATTGGGATTAGTAGGGACCGGATATGGCCCGACAGTTCGAAACTAGCTATACTTTTTATGAAATTTTAAGACCCGGTATTTGACCAGTAATGTGATTTAAAAAAAATCAAGTTTTATAAATTATATTACAAGTTTTTATCTATTAAAATATAATATTTAAAGTGTATTTCAATACTTGATTTCAAAAACCGTAATTACAAAAACATGTATTACATTTTTGTGTAAATAAGATTTAAAAAAGTAATTTTGTTTTCAAACCGGACCGGATTTAAGACCAGTCCCGTCCTATGACCAGTCCCGTCCTATAACCAGTCCTTACCCTGGTGCCAGGCCGGCCTGGTTTGGCCCGGGATGGACAAACCCGATTTAATAGGACAGTCTGGTGTGCGGGACCCATTTTTGACGATATCTATACTATATTATAAAGCATTTGACAAAAACTATTAAAAACATTTTTATGCATAAAATAATGTTTATTGATGCATATTACTTAAAATTTAAGATTACATATAGAATGTGTATGTATATATCTTATTAAAGTTCCATGTTTGAATTTGTGTAACTAACTGCAGACAAACATAATCAAATACATGATAAACATCATTTTAAATATAAAAAATCTAAAGTATAATTAAGATTATCATTGAGTTATAACATAATACTTAATTATTATCTTAAAAAAATTTATTTTATTAAACCAAAAATAAATTATTTCGTTTTTGAACTTCAATTAAATTATAATAAAAAATTAAATTAAAAAAATTACACAAAAACAAAGAATTTTTAAATAGTTAATTTGATAATAATATCACTTATTTTTTTCTAAAATTTTATAATATCTTTAAATTTATATTTCATCAAAAAATAAAAACATTTTTTTCTCTCAGAACCACATAAAATCACATTATACGCAAAATATAAAATAAAACATTAGAATATAAGATATATCATACTCTAATGACGTATTACGCTAGTCTATCAAAATGGATGTGGGTTTGGTGGTGTTGGGGCCCAATAACCCGAAATCATGATGAATATGGATTATGGAGCAACCCGATATGGCATCCTACAAACGAGTGGCTCTCTCCACCCAATCTGCACAAAGAAATACAGATGAAACGAACCTCATCCATGGCACCGAATCCACGATGGCCAGCTTAACAACTCTTTCACTCTCATCCACCTCTTCCCTTTGGTACCACTGCACTAAACCCGATTCACTTTTTAATCTCAGATATTCAAGAACAATAACCTGCATGGCTGCTGCGACCAAGGTCATACCCTCCATCATCGTCGGGGGTGGCCGTGTCGGAAAAGCCCTACAAGACATGGGCGGCGGCGATGATTTGTTGGTGAAGAGAGGCCAACCTGTTCCGATCGATTTCCCAGGTCCGATATTGGTGTGCACCCGGAACGATGATCTAGATGCCGTCCTTCAATCCACTCCTAAGTCCCGTTGGAGCGGTACGATGATTTCACCAACTTATTATTATACCACTACAATGCATTCATTTTCTTCAACATTTGTGCATTTTGAAATTTGAAGTAGGTAATGGTATCATTTGGTGTATCTGTGCATTTCAATTGATTCCGTTACATGATTGTTTCTCTCACGAGAACTAACCACGAAACTATGCATATAGATTAGAATACAAATGTTTTGGAGCTTAACACCTAAAAATGTCCATGTCATATGGACCTGTACACTTAGGTTGCATTTGGTACACGGAACCTGACTTGACTGGATGGGACAGGATTGGATGGACGAGGGTGAGGTAGGCGGGTGAAAAAATTGGTAGTTTTAGTAATCCTGATATAGTTTAATGTTGCTCCAAACGTGGGACAACAAGTTTTTGTTTTGACATGTCGCGTTCTGTCTTGCGTACCAAACGCACCTTTATTCCACAACGTCCATGCCAATTTTGAATACAGAAAGTACTAAGGGGCCGTTTACTAAACGTGGGTACTTTTCCTCACCGCATGAACATGGCAAGGGCCAATAATCTTACCCGGTAAGAGCGATGATAAGTATAGAGAGTCTTACCCGGTAAGTGAGGGTGATGACTCTTACCCGGGTAAGCGCTTACTTGGTAATTTGTTGTATAGGATACGTTTGGATGTACTACAATCTTATCCAATAAAATAAATTATAGTGTTGACTCCTAACATTAAGCACTTACTGGGTAAGCATTTAGGTAAAGGGCCCCTAAGTTTTTGGTCATGAAATGTCATTCTTTTAGGCTGTTAATGAATCCCCCGAGAGGAGATCTTTGATGCTGTTGGATTCCAATATTTGATGTCCAAAGGTTAGAGTTTTAGAGAATATTGATTCTGATGGAACGGACATATGAAGTGATCCTTGTATCTAAACTCCAACTAGCAAATACCAAACCGTCTAGTTTTCGATGTATCAAAGGACTTGTACCCATGAGGTCTGGGTTCTACTCTCATGTTGGATTCTTGAATACCATTTGGCCAAAGGCCGGATGCTTAGGTGGACGTATGGTCTGACCATGTTGGATAGGATACCAAATGGTTTTTTGGGCAAAGTTGGGAATTGCACCTATGACGGGAAAACTCTAGTGGTTTCGACAAGTATATAGGAGGTAGATAAAGGCACCTGTGAGCAAGGTTTTAAAAGGTGGAATCAGGCCTCGAGGCGGTCTGAGGCATAAGCCCCGAGATGGAAATATATACACACCAAAATATGTACATATGCTACACAAATATATATAAATAGCCTCTCTACCCTTTGGGGTAGAGGCAAGGTCTATGTACATCTTACCTCTGTGTGGGATATACTGATTTTGTTTGGTAATTACCCACAAGCAGGAGTAAGGCTTTAGTCCCCCCATAAAACTTTTAATTGTTTAAACCCCGATTTAGGTGGGTCGAATTCTGATCTGTTAAGCTGGATCATAACAATCTAGCAGATTTGGTTTTTTTCCAGAACGGGATGCTGGAGCCATGGTTCGAAAGTAAAGGTCTAGGTGATGCTGACCAAGTGTTGGCATATTTTGCCGTTTCCAAGCTTGGCGAGCCCCCCGTGGATGGTATAACCGATACCAATCCTGAGGGATTGACTGCTGCTTTTGGCAAATGGGGTTCTGCTGTTGCTGCTAGGTTAGAAGCTGGAGGTCTTTCTTGCAAGGTAAATCTTGTCTAATTTATGGTCCTAAACCACTACTTTATTAAACAACGGTGAAAACAAAAGAAACGAATTACATTTTTCTTGAAAGCTCACTATCTGCTGGATTTCAGTATGACATATTCTAGCTTTTAATTTTTTGCTGGAGTTGCATCAAAACTGTAACAGCAGTTGTTGATTTTGACTTGAATTGCCTTGATTGAAGCTCCAATATCATAAACTAAAAAACTTGTTTTCTTAAAATACGGAAATCAGGTCCTCGAGAAAGAACCCTTTGAAAAGCAGATGCTAGAGAAGCTTATATGGATAGCAGCATTCATGCTTGTTGGGGCTCGCCATCCTGGAGCCACTGTCGGAATTGTAGAGAAGGACTTCCGTTCAGAGGTAAGATTACCTTCATCAACACGACAAAGTCGTTGAGTTTTCATACTACCATCTTATAACTATGTTCATCTTCAATCTAAGCATCTTTCCTACAACATATATGTTCAGGTAGGTAGCCTCATTGAAGAACTGGCATCTGCAGCAGCAGCAGAGAAAGGCATATTTTTTGAAGAAGGGATTGAGGATCGGTTATGTGCTTATGCTCGAGCAGTTTCCCACTTCCCAACTGCAGTTAAGGAGGTAAGCTCTCTGTAATATGAAAGTTGGTTGCTTGCAATTAGCCCATCAATCATTCTCTCATCTCACCAAGTGGTAATGGATCTCGCAGTTCAAATGGAGAAACGGCTGGTTCTACTCGCTCTCAGAGAAGGCAATCGCTCAAGGGAAACAAGATCCGTGCCCTTTGCACACATCATGGCTTAAAGACCTAAATATTGTTCAGTAATGTATGTGTACTATGTACCCCCAGTGTTTTAGACAATTCTTAATATGAACTAATCGCACATTTCTCTTCCTTAGTCAATGTAGCGAAAGATTCATTATAACGAGTTCAAAAAACTATTGCAGCTATCCGATCCGTAGATCATCTCTATAACGGAAGATAAAAAAGAATATTATAAGTATACTGTATTGTCAAGATATCACAATTATCATACAACTGAGAAGCAGAGAGAAATGAAAAGGGATATAAAGGACACAATGTTGTCTCTTTTCGGGTTGGGTCATGGTTTTGTTCTGCAAATCATAATTTTAGTTTCCGTTTGGCGATTGATTCTTTGGCTAGTTGGACACGACATAATGCCTTTTGAGTCGGGTTCAAGCCATAACAGACGTCCCCTGCCCCTAAAGTAACGGCAAAATAAAGATAAATGGTGCAAAGGACAGCAAGAAGTACAAGAGCGGTTAGTAGGTAACGATGACGCCTGATGACTGTTGAGAAGCTACCCAATTCATCCTCCTTTGTGTATTGCTTTTTAAATGAAGGTGAAGAAAATGCAGTCTGTGATCTCCGGTGAGGCGAAGTTATTATTCCGTCCAGAACCATAGCTGTAAACAACTGCCAAATCAATCGCAAATAATTATAAATTATTAATTAACCGTAGCTATAATTCACTTGAAGAGATATTCTAGCGTCGAATGGATCTAATCCATATGAACTTCAATTACGGTCGCTCGTACGATCTACGGTGAACTCAAATTTACAAAAACACAATTATAAACGATCAGAAGCACAGAATGCAGGGAAATATCAGATTATTCAGCCGGAAAACAGAGCGACAGAGTTCTCATATCCAATTACATCAAATTCAAACCAGATTACTTCAATTATGGAACATCGAATTGGTCTAAACTGAAATTAACAACAGCGATCGTTAGAGATGAAATGGAGGAGAAAGAAACATACCAGATCGGAGGAAAAAAGTGCCGGCGAAGATAAGAAATCGATGATCTTGTCCTTTATCCTACTCTCGCACCAGAGAGAGAGAGTGAGAGATGGTAATTGACTGATGAGTTTTAAGTATTGGGTGGTGTCGTTAATATGGCGCTTGGGAACCCGATGGGACTCGTTTCCGCCCCAAAGGCCGCAATCAGAAGAAAGGCTTTTTTCAGAGTTAGAATTTAGAGATTCAGACGGATGTGCCATTTTTAATGCATGGAGTATAAGTTGCTGAAGCAGTATTGCTTTTTATTCAGTTATTTTTGTTTGCCTTTGAAAATGTATTACCGACAGACATGTTCTTTGACTCCCGGTTTGGGAAATGGGTCCGCATCGACGACGACGACTTTTGATTTAGCGTTCATATTTGATTTGGGAAATGTGATAAGACAAGACTGGACAGGACAAGACAAGAACAAGTTGTTTATCTGGCGTTTTTTCACGATTAAGACTAGACGTACCGGATAAGTTGTCTCTGGATATTATTTAATGATTTTATATGGTGGTTACCGGAGGAGGTGGAGGTGGTCGGCGGTAGTGGCCGATGATCCGATGGTGGTTGTGGAGGATATGGAAGGGACTTGAAAGACTAATTTTAACAATGGGTTTTGTCTCATCTTGTCTAGTTCAGTATAAAGGATATTTGTTTACCTCTTAACATTGTCATTAAAATACAACTTCTGAATTGCTATGAGGTGAATTGTGTTTGCCCAAAAAAAGTATGTCTCTTAATGGTTTCAAAACCCTCTGAATGATTTTGTATTTTGGGTCTCCCTGAACTATTCAGCGTCCTAATTTCATTCTAAACAAATATTAAACAACCGTATTTCATTTTGTACTATATTATAAGAGTCTCTTAATCATTTTTCAACACTTAATCATCCTGCACCAAACCATTCAGCTTTAATTTAAAGAAGGGACTTGAGAGACCGGCAATTTTTGAATGGTTTGGTGCAAGATAATTAAGTGGTCAAAATGATTAAAAAGCTTCTACGATATAATGGAAAATGAAATATAATTATTTGGTAATTGTTAAGAATGAAATTAGGGTGCTGAATGTTTAAAGAAGGCCCAATATACAAAACCATTCAAAAGATTTTAGAACTATTAAGAGACATAATTTTTTATCAAATAAAATTCATCTTTTAGCGATTCAGAAACTGCCTTTTAGTGGAGCTATTAAAATTTAAACAAATAGCCCTTTCACTATTTGATAACATCAGAATCATTTAATACAAAATGATCATAATGGTTAAGAGGCTTTGTATGATTTAGTGTCAGATAGAAAATGATTGTTTAGAATCTATTTTGAATCAACCATCTTAATAACTAAAATTAACATTTTACCATCAATCTTACATTAGAATAAAAATTAACGTTGATAAAAGTTTTAAATGAAATTTTTGAATACAAAATAGAAAACAATTAATGATCCAATATAATACACAAAAGTTTTAAATGAATAATAAAAAACGATTTAGTATAAAGAAGAAGAATAGAAAATAATTTAGTATGAAGATGAAATACATAAAAGACAACGAATATATATATATATATATATATATATATAGGGAAGGGTTCAAACGAGAACTCCTATGATTTGCGAAAACACGAGAACAACCTATTAACTTCATATTATGATAACAATAAAAATTAAAAGATTTTTTAAATTAAAAATGAAATTAAAACAATTAAAAAAAAATTGAGAGGCAAAAGGGTAATATTGAAATTTAAAGTGATAAAATTTTAAAAACACGATCACACTAAACCCAATAATTTAGATAACATAATGGGCTATTATGGTTATCGCTTATTTCAACACGATTTGATGTGATTTGGGTGTGATATGAGTGTGATAATCATGTGATTATCACACAATTATCACAAGGATTCCGCTCGGCTAGAGTTAACTTAAGAAATCAACTACCGATTTGGTGTGATACGGGTGTGATAATCATGTGATATCACTATCATAACAGTGCACTCGATTTGATTATGGTTTCGATCGATTAGAGTTAGACAATCACACATTTATCACAACTTTTACTCATGGTTTCGATAGGTTAGGATTAGACAATCACAGATTTATCACAACGATTACGGACGAAATCCACTAAACGATTTGGTGTGATAATCATGTGATATCACTATTATAACATCACTTGCGCACTCAATTTGATCATAGTTTTGATCAATTAGGATTAGACAATCACACATTTATCACAACGATTAATCATGGTTTCGATAGGTTATGGTTATACAATCACACAATTATCACAAGGGAAGAAAAGATAGTGGAAATGAACGTGCAGGAAAAAAAAAGATAATTATAATTAATTAAAATAAAATAAAAATTATAAAAAATATTTAATTACATTGCTGCCCTTATTAATTTATTTATATTTAATATAAGTTAATGAGTTTGAGATTAAAGGTAATCAAAGGTCCAAATCCCTTACGCTTATTACCTTAACTCACACACACATACACGCACATGCGAGAACACACACATATATATGTCTATATACAAGAAAGCCTTGAGATCATATAAGACCAAACTGTGTTTGTAAGACCCGTGAAACTATTTGTTTACATTTGAAACAGTAAAAAAAATCTAAATCTTTACAACAAAACCACTGTGAAAGTTACCTTCACAATGTTTTGTTGTGAAGTAAGTGTAAAAAATAGTCTCACAGGTCTAATAAAAATAGACTCATCTCACATGATCCCAAATATACATATATACATATATTTATTTATTTGGTTTCTAATCAAATAAACTGGAAGTCTCGTCAAACAGAATTTCACAGTCTGCTAATTTTTCCAATAGATTGACTTATGAAAGTCCCCTAACATGACTTTTGATTTATTAATTGGAATGAAAAGGATAGAAATAGATGATCATATATTCTGAAAATCTAAAAATGGCAAGGATTCATTCACAAACAATGGATTTTGATGTAATTCTGATATCTTGTTACAAGTGCTACTACACTAGTCAGCTCAGCAGAATCAAACATGTTTGAAAACAATGGAAGTTGGGACATTAGCAGTATCATCATCAAACACCAAAAAACCCACACAAACAAAATCCTGTTCATCCCTTCATATTTGGGACAGGATGAAGCATCAATTTATAAATAAATAAAAAGTGCAACCAAAAAAAAAGGGAAAAAGAAAACAAAACCTCAGTTTCCTGGACAATACAATAAACGTCCAACCTGTATAAATCACCACCTAAAACGGGCCTCTCCTGCTTCTTTCACAAAACCTCCAAATAACCATATTCATCTCCAACTCAAAATCATCTGAGCATTAGAAACCCGCTAGAAGTTAGAAACCATAAAAACCTACTAAAAGTTAGAAACCTAAAAACCAAATTTAATGTTATTGTTTTGTAGATGAAACAACACGTGTGAAAACCAAACCCGTGAAATCAACCAAAACCATCCAATGATTTTGATTTTTAAGCTATGATACATATTGTTTCTCATGTTCTTTTCTTGTGCGAGTACGAGTGTGTTTCATGTATTTTTGTGTTTTTTTCACATGCAAAAAACACATACAAACTGGTTTTTATGGTTTATAGCCTTTAGACAGTTTTATTTGATTTTCTCCCTATATATATACGGGCTTAATCAAATGAGAACTCCATAATTTGTGATAACTATGAGATCCAATGTGAGCCACTCATTTGAGATAATTAACGATGTATTGAAATTCATAATAAAGGGTAAAGTAGTAATTTTGTTTTTGATGACAACCTAGTAAATTAAAATTTGGTAACATTCTATTCCGTTTACATCTATGTTCAATTTTCATATTTGTATCAATCCTCCATTTTTTTCTCCCTGTATCCCATTGATTTAAACAGCCCTGATACCTACCAACACTGTTGTACCTCTTTCTTATCTATAGTGTGTATCACATCGTATATCGTCCAGCATCACGTGTACACAGCCTGTATCTGTGGGTATATAGAGAGAACGGTCCTAATTAATCTATCACGTGTATACAGTGTATCACAATGTGTATACAGTACGTATCAGTGGGTATCACAGTGAAATGTTCAAGCCGGAGGGGAGAGGGGAGATGAGGGAGAAGAAAATTACCAAAATTATTAATTTCCTAATTTATCCTTTGATTTGTGGTTGAGATTGGATCACACGGTTATCACAAATTACTGAGTTCTCCATTGAATGATCCCTATATATACACATTATTCTATAAACAAATATGCTTTTGTAAACATCAACCTACTTGATGTGATTGTTGTGAAACCAGCAATGGGCTTAGCAAATCTTAGGTTTGGTTGTTTTTTGCTCCTCAGATTCAATCAAATTCAAAATATTTCTGCTTAAAGAGTTAAAGATGCTGATACAGACCTTTCAGGAGTCATCTATTTAGTCCTCATAATCACCCGCATTCTCCAATAAGAAGTTGGCTGCCAATTCCTCATTACGATCACAGGCTAAGAACGCCTCAATAACAAGGGTTCTATCAAAACCCATTGCCTCAAGCTGGGAGTAGAAGGATCAACTAGTCAGCTAAAAGAAAGAATGTTGGTATGCTATAAAAAACTAAAAGTGATCAATACCCGTTCAATGGCCTCCTGTTCTGCTGGAGTAACACTAATAGCATGTGGCATCTCCTGATCTGGTTGATCAAATAGATCCCTAAAATAAAGAACGATAGTTATCAATCAAAGCACTTTGCCTCAAGGGAAAAGAGGTCAGATATGTAACAGTGATAGCTTTATTACATAAACCAGTCTTAATTACAACAAGGAATAAAAGAAAACGATCGGCTAACTGGAATATGAACCAGCAAGTTCACAGAAATTCAATTCCTTCTTATATTCACCAGAGAGAAGCAAGAAACTACTCACCCTTCAGAAGCATCGACAGGTTCATTGATTAACTGAAGAAACTCGGCATGATTCTCCTGGATTAGTCCTAAAAGTTGAGGGTTTTGCTTTCCCAGCTCCTGAAGCATGGGCTGTAACAAATGCCAACTGCGTTAGACCTTTTAACAAGGCATAGATTACACACAGATAAGGGGACAGAAAAAAGTGTACCTGTAGTATTTGTGGATTTGATTGTACCATAGAACGTAATGCTTGGAACTGAAATGCAGATTGGAACTTATAAACAAAAATAATCAACAAATCCGATGCAAAAATCTAAACATCTCCAATAACAAAAGTCTACATGATTGTTTTTTTGATAATTAAGTTTTTCAGCCCTGCAGTATGTAAGTATTACTCGAACTTAAGTTTTAGCATCAATAAATGACATACATCTGGAGGTTTTAATAAATGAAACTACAATGAATACCACCTGCTGGTTGTTTCTAAGGAAGTCAAGGGATCCAAGATTGCCTCCTGCAGCACCTGACGTTATTTCCTACACAAATTCAAATAAAGATATTGTTTGTATCAGATACAAAAATGAGGTAAAAAAACCTCACCTGAATGGTTACTGACCTGAGGAAACAAGTTCAAGGGAGATGCATTAGGTCCACCAGATAGCGGTGCAACACCAGTGGCACTTGCAATACCAGCTTGAGTTGCAGGTAGTTGAGTCACTGGGACTGCAACTTCTACTGTATCTGGAATACCCTGGAACAGTTGGACAATAATTAGTGTCTAAGTTTAACAAGGTATTAAAAGAAGACAACTCAGAAACCTACAGAATACAAGTAATCAATTGCTCGCTCTGGATTGTTGTAAGCAGCTTGAAGGGCACGAGTAACAGTTTCCTTGTCCCAACTGCCACCACCAATATCCATTATGTGTTGAATAGTCTGCTCAACACCAGTACTGGTGACTACACTGGAAGCAGCTTGGCCATATGTATCAGAATTGGCACTGCAGTTCCAACAAAAGTTTGCATGTAAACCACATGAGAACTGTATGTGATACTGTTTATAATTATGACATTTTTAATACAGTTTGTTTAACGGGGTGTAAGGGGTTATTTGCAATCTCAAAAGAAGCATACTGGATTCAATTAAAGAAAATTATGGAAAAAGAAGTTGGGACAAAGAACTCATACGGTGCAGGTGCAGGTGCAGGTGCCGGAGCCGGAGGTGCTGTTGCTGGGCCAGATGATGAAGTGCTGGTTTTAGAAGCTCTGCAATTCAAGCATATGTATAAATGATAAGATCTCCCAAACACTAGATTTCTACTATTTATAAATATGAATTGCACTGTTTCTTAATGAGTAATTGAAACTCACTGTGGTTGCGCATCAGGTGCACTGGTAGGAATAGAAGCTGGTGCAGTCGTAGAGGGGAGCTGATTGTAACAGCTAAAATGAGATTTCTTTATCCATAAAGTAAATGCAAAGATCATACATGGTCCAAGGGCACAATAAAAAAAAAATATACCTGAGCAGATGAAGCTCCACCTGAGCCAGAATTCTTACTCTGTTGAGAGAAAGATAAGAAGAGTTATGATATGAAGGTGGAAACTACATTCTTATAGATGTTTCCATATCCGAAAATGCAGCCGTAACACAATTTATAAGCCATAAACAGCTAGAAGAATAGTATGAGTTTGGCGATCGCTAAATCAAGATGTCAGTGCATGTGTGTGTGTGTGAGAGAGAGAGAGAGAGTAGTTATGAAGACATGTATTTCACGAAATAAGATACATCACAGATTGTATAGCATTTAAAGAAATAACATCATTATACTAATGGTGCCACACCAACAAACTATCATTACAACAGCCTAGCATTCCAACCAACAATGCTTCAGAATACTACAAAAATTAAGGAGAGATGGCCAAAAAAAAGTAAAACACAAATATCTAACAACCCCAAACAACTAAAACAATTACCTTGCTAAGCATGACAACAAGAAAACCTTCCTCTGTGACTTTGTTATCTGCCAATGTAGTTTCATCTTTCAAAACCTTGCCATTGTGAATCAATAACTGCTGCCCACATGGGTAATTATCTTTTCCTTGTACATCTTCAATATTTTTCTTGACCGCCATAATCTAGCATCATAAAAAGCTTTATGTCAGTTACGTACATGCATGCGGAAAAAGAAACATAGATATATCATGCCATTATAATAACCCCATTAAAATGGTAATTTGTCAGCATGTCAAGCATGAAAGAACTTCTCTGTTTGCCTAAGAAATGAAGAGGAATATCTTGAATCTTGATGAAAGAATATTAAGTTGCCAAAACATGGTTCTATCTGTTTCAAATACTTTCCAACCATATCATCTTTTATCTGGATAAGTGCACATACAGTTTACAAAGAATAAGAAGGTAGACATTAAATATCTGATCAAATCCAGATTAGTGCAATTTATTACTACAGTTTTCACTATCAAAATAGAGGAACTAACACTGTTCACAGAACATTAGCATTTAGCATTGAGTTTAATCTAAAAGAATCCTTACGTAAACCCCATTCTCTTTTCTATGGATGCTAATAAAAACAAATTGAGGAACTAACACTGTTCCGAATACCAAGACAGACAACCACTGTAGATTTTCATTCAAGTTCCACAGAACTTGCCACAAACTAGTACCTTCAAAAATTTTCTATCATACGAAAATAATGAAAAACGAATAAATTGAATCTTTTGTGTAAATAAGTTCTCAAGAGTGACTGCTCCACGTAACACGACAATTTTGAATCTTCCAAAATTTATGTCATTTACATGAAAGCTACTTCTTCTATTGTGATGCCATTTCTTTCAATTACTTCTTATTTTTCTTACCAAAAAGCTAACTAATTTAATATCCATCACCTGCCATTTATTTTACGCTAAAAGACATATACGAAGTGTTTCTCAAACTTGTCAATTGTCCCAACTAAATTAACTACAACAATAATCAAAACATATTTCATTTTACCACAGCACATATGCAATTTTCTGTCTCCAAAGAACCAAACACTGACCAACTTCACCAATAGCACTGGCAATCGTATACATACACATAAAAATTTCGATTTGCTTCATCAATTTAAAAAAATTATAGATTAAAAATATATCAGATTCACGACAACAAAAACAATGCCTTAGTTTGGCATATACAGAAATTATAACTACGAGATACAAAAAAATATATGACATATGTGCTTCTGTAATCATACCTAACCACATCAGAATCAGCAAATTTTGTGTATTTACAGGAGAATTATAAACACATTTAGAAGTAGGTGGAACTCACAGTGTCGGAAGGTTGAACCCTAATTTCAAAGTGGCTCCCTTTAAGAGTCTTTACGGTGAGCTTCATTTTGAAGATCAGCGGACCTCGATCCCACAAAGAATAGGAGGATAGTACGGATTATACGGAGCTTTACTAAGTCGAAACCCTAGAAAATACAGAAACGGATCGAGATTTTCCAGAACGAAGGGAAAAGCGACTGCTGTATTTTGCAGGAATGCAAACGGAAAAAAGGCACAAAAGGGAGGAGGGCTTCACTTCGTAGTTTGAGCACGCATTTTGCACGTGACCACCATTTATTATTTTTATTTCTTTTCCTTTTTTGCACTTCACGAGTATTCTATAAGAAAATCGATATGCATTTTTTCTATATTAAAAAGGCTATTTTTTCCTTTTTTTTAACTCAAAAAAATCTACTTTTTCTAAAGTCTATTTATTTTTATATGTCGTCGTAACTTTCGACGACATAACGTCCATCATCAGTTAGGTTTTGCCCACCATTAAGTATGGTTGGAATTATAATTAGGAGCTCTTTGGTAGTTGCTGAATGTTTTGATGTAAAATGATTAATAGACTCTTATGATATAATGGAAAATAAAATATAACTGTTTGGTAATTATTTACAATGAAATTATGGCGTTGAATGGTCAGGGAAAACCCAAGTTACAAAACCATATAAAGGGTTTAGAACCATAAAGAGATAGACAGTTTTTGTCAAACAAGATTCACCTTTTAACGATTCAGATGTTGTATCTTAATGGAACTATTAAAAGGTAAACAAACAATTCTATGATTTAGTAAGGGTTGTTAGAAAATGTAACTTCTTTGTTGTTATATTTTTTTTATGGATGGATATAAATATATATAGAAATAAAAGAATTGTTTAAATCTTGACAAGAAGATGAAAATGTCATTAATGCCCTTGGAAAGAGCTTCTGAGCACGCATATTAGATGGGTCATTGATCGAAGGACTTGATGGTTACCAAACAAGCACTTCAATATCCTAAATGCAAGGATTAAAACTGCTATTATGCTTAAATTTAAGGGACCGTTGTTGTAATTTACTCAAACTAGAAAAATAACTCCTTATTATATACGAGTCATGTTCATGCATAATAGTAATCAAATAAGATAATAAAATAAATGAATAAACACCACACAAATCAATAAATAAATAGTTTTAAAAACAAATTAAAAAAGGCATAAAATTAAATTATTTATATAAAAAATATTTAAAATTATATTGTTACCATATTTGTGATTTTGATATAATTTAATTTTTTATTTAAAAGAATTATTTATTTAATGCATTTAAAGTTAGTGTCTTTAATTTTTATTTAAATAATTTATTTTTTATTTTAAGGAAATATTTAGAAAAAATTACAATCTTCATCAAATCAGATGTGTTTCATAATTAATTGATTTTTTTTTTATTTTTTCCTAATAAAATGTGATTTAGAATATAAAAATAATATTCAAATTAAATATTGAAAAAAAATAATGAAAACAGAATTATATGTGGTATGTAGCAGAACACATTTAGAATGTATAAGATCACATATACTTCAAAACATAATTCATATTTTACAAATATCAGATGTAACGTTGTAGATAGCTTATTTTTTTGTCCACCTAAATTTACTATGATCAATATCACATATGAGATTTTGACAAAAATTAACGATTTTTTAAGGAAAAAAATGTCGATTAATTGTGGATGTCAAATGTGATATTTGATGAAAATTGTAAAAAATATATCTTAAATAAATTATTTCAATTAAAAAAGTATTTTAAATGAAAAACTAAATCATGCTTTTTGTACAAAAAAGTCATAAATAAATACATTAATTAAATGCATTAAATAACCTTAATTGAAATAAATGAATTTCCATGTATAATTTGTATGGAACAAATGATACATATTTTTGGTGATTTTTAAGAAAATTTTAATTTAAGCCACAATTCAAATAAATGATTGGTCCAGAATTATTCTCTTATTTTCTTATTTAGTATCTATTCTCGTATAAACCTCCCTCTATCGTACATATGATCTTTGTATTTTTTAAAGTATGTTCTATAAAATAAAATTTTCCTAAATTTATATACTTTTAAATGTATAATTTAGAAAAGATGTTTCGAAAATAACATCGAATGAAATAATATGCATTTTTGACAGTGTTTTAAGGTTGTGTTTGATACATGGGATAGGAACTCACTCATATTTGGCGTGACAACTTTTTGTCTCATGTTTGGTGCAATATGGGACAAGACAAGTACTGGGACAAGGTGACACAAAAAAAAAATCTTTTTCTTGCTCCACCAAAATAGGTGGAACAAGATGGGACAAGAATGAACAAAAGCTAAAATATTACTAATTTACCCTCCTTTGATATATAACTTTAATATGATATTTATTTTAGCGGTCACCATCGCTAGTTGTGGCCGTCGCGTTGGTCACATCTACTTCTTCTTTCATTACAACCTTCTCCACCATCTCCGCAACCACGCCAACCATCGACTACCACTGTCCATCGTTATCTCCATGACCACTATCGGCCACTGACCACCGGCATCCATCATCACCATCATTGGCCACCTTCTCTTCTACTACAACAACCTCCACCCACCACCTCCACCAACAACCATCGGCCATCAACCACCGTCATCCACCAACCACCACTGCCTCTACCTCCACAACCACCGACATCATCCCCCATTGCCACAACCATTAGTATCATCGACCATCACCACCTCCACCTCTGCCATAACCACCACCACCATCACTACCACTACTTATTACCTCCGTTATATCGGTTACAACTACCTCCTACACCACTATTGACCACCACTCACTATTATCTACCATCTTTATGTCCTCCACAACCACCTTTGGCTACTAACCACCACCAACACTAGTATCGTCGGCCACTACTACCTCCACCTCCACCACTACCACCACCACCACCACCATCGGCTACCACCACTACCACCTCAATCACCACTGGTCGACCACCACCATCACTATCCATAACCACCACCCACCACCAATCACCAATGTCTCTACCTCTACAACCATTATTGTTGTAACAATTTTCATCATGCCTTATCCAGTTGATAACAATCTTTCAAAATGAATAAAACATAATTTATCCTTTGTACCATCAATTATATCAAAAAATTTATTTAAATTTGGTACTATTATATATGTATTTACGTATTTGAAAATTGTATGAAAATATTTATAAATTAAATTATTTAATTATTAACTTTATTGTTTTTGGTTAATTGTAACTATTCTATGATATATAAAATCATCAAATAACTTTAGGGGGTAACTTGTCTAGTTATGTACTGTCCAATCATAATTGTACCAAACATCAGACTAGGGATGGTGATTTGCCCCGACCCGGTGGGGAACCCGGTTCACCCGGCCCGAACGGGGACGGGGATTCCCAGCTAAAACGGGTCCCGGGGCCGGGGCCGGGGACGGGGAATGTTACTCAAAACGGGGCTGGAGTCGGGGCCGGGGATCCCCGGTATAATCAAACTAAAGCATACTTTTTACCGGGTTTTGACCGGGGATTGACCAGGGTTTACCGGGTTTTGACCGGGGATTGCTAGAATTTGACCGGGGACGAGATGATAATCCCCATACCTGCGGGGGACCGGGGCCGGGGGACGGTATTACAAACCGGGGCCGGGGTCGGGGATTACAAAACCCGCCCCATCCCCGCCCCGTTGCCATGCCTATACCAGACAAGTATTTGGAATAGTCCAGTCCAATCCTACCCTTTGCCATGTCAAGTCTTGTCCAGTCTAATCCTATCCTTTGCCATGTCAAGTCTTGTCCAGTCCAATCATTTATATTTATTTGTATTAATTATACATCTAACATTCAAATTTGTCGCCATATATCAAACTACATTGCAGTGATGAAACCTTCAAACACCTTACTTTACATAATTTTTCCTGACACATTAACAAAATAAGAAACTTAATAAAACTCCACAATAAATGTTCTTATAAAACCTCACTTTCCTTTTTTATTTATAAAATGTGATTTTATTTTATAGATTTTTATATAAGTTTAATATAAATATATTTAAATTGCTAGAAAATTATTGAAAATGCTCAAATATAATTTATTAGTTTTTATTTTTCTATATTAATTTTAATTTGTCAATATAGAAGATATTGTGAAATGTAGGAACAAATAAAACAAAATTAATAAATATATTTCATAATAATTACTTTTTTGTATCAATTTTGATTTATATGTTTTATAAATTTATTAAAACAGAAAAATATGGTTAAAAGCTAATAAATAATAATAAAAAAGAAATGTAGACAAGAACCAGAGTTCTTATTCAAACATTTGAATTTTTATTAGAATTTGTGATTGGATAAAAATTCATATATCATACAGTGGAGGTTCTTATAAAAATACAACAGGAAGCTAAGCAAGAATCTCTACTGTGGACGCTCCTAGAGAAATTTATTTTTTTTACTCATGAAAAATTCATTGTTTATATAGATAATTGTGAATTTGATCGATAAATTTGTTCATTTTATTTTTATTAATAAATTTTTTATATATAAATAATAGTCAAATATTTTATTCATCATTTCTTACTGTATCATAGATGTTTTATCTGCTTTTCTTCTTTATGTAATGAAGAAATCTTGGAATTTTATTATACTCTTTCGACACAGTTTCATACATCTTGTATGCAACTTGTTTCAAGTCGCATATAATATAGATTTAGAACTTTCGGTACATTTGCTGTGACATCAGGGGCGGACCTAGTGTGGTGGCATGGGTGGCACGTGCCACCGTATTATTTCGCCACTGAAGGGTAAACAATTTCGGTTTGTCAACGGTGCTACCGTATCGTTTTGGAAGGTGTTACCATATTTTCCTGAAATTCAAACAGTGCCACCGTATGAAACAATTTCTAGGTCCGTCCCCTGTGTGACATGCAAACGAGTTTCCTATGACTTAGGTAGTCGCACACTCTACCCTCTGTAACTTATACACGACTTTGAAATAGCGTCACCCCCAAAACCTAAGGGTTCCTCCGCAAGGTTCGTCCATGGAGCATAAGGGTTTTGCCTACGATTTGAATTTTGAAAGATCGAGCGACTTGAAACAAGTCGCATTCACGCACCATACGAGATAAATCATGACGTTATGGCTCATTTTGATTCAGAACAACCACAAACAACTTAGATACA